GCATATTATTTTGAAACTATAACAGATAGGTAGACGAAAAAAAAATTATCAGCAAGACAAGTTCTAAAATAGGATGATATTGCTGAATTCGTTGGACAACTCTTTATAGGAGTTAGTGCCCTTGGATACCATTTTATACATTTTTTTTGCGTCAGATGGAAATTTAAATAGCAAAAATGATAAGATAAGGTCTACAAATAAGTGGAATTGGCTGAAATCGTCAGCCGGCTCCTTATAGAATTTATTACCCATAAATGACAATTCTACTAAGTTTTTGTCTTATTGTTTATTGTTTTTAAACTATAATAGATAGATAGAAACTTTAAAAAAAAAAATCTGCAAAGAGGTCAGCGTATGTGAAATTATCAATTGTCTTCTTATAGGAGTTACTGCCCTGAAATGACGATTTTATTTTTAACTCTGATCATGTTTTTGGCAAACACTATAGAAGATAGAGAGAAACTGTAGACATAAAAATGATCAGCAAAAAAAGAGATTTATGTCATAAGTTATATTATAGTCTATAATGTGGAGAATGTCCATTTTTGAAGATGCACATAGACCTAGGTGAGCTTGAGCTTTAGAGCCTCTTGTTATAATTATATTTTTTGTGTTTAAATTTTCTTAGAGCTTTAGAGCTTTAGAGCCTCTAGTTATAATTATATTTTTTGTGTTTAAATATAATTATATTTTTTGTGTTTAAATTTTCTTAGAGCTTTAGAGCTTTAGAGCCTCTAGTTATAATTATATTTTTTGTGTTTAAATTTTCTTAGTAAATATTCTTTAATTCAACTTATTTAAAGTGTTCTTGTTCTTATCCATGCGATCACAGACACTTGTCTCTGAAGGTATTTTTTTAAGAGACAAGTGCCTGTGCATGCGATATTACAATATCAGTAGTTTATATAAGATATCGACCACCAAATAAAACAGACGACACTTACCTAAACAAAATGAAAGACTAAATAAATAACAGAGCAAAATATCAAACAGGTATATTCCTTATTGGTGGCGACTTCAACCTACCAGACATTTACTGGGCAGAACAAACAATAGTCCATGGACAGGATCCTACCAGAACCAATCCGGCTTTCTTAGAGGTCGTATCCGACAATGGGCTAGAACAAATTGTGGACTTTTCAAAGCGTAAAAAGAACATCTTACTTCTCACCCATCATTTAAATTAAGATGCAAACTTTTACCATCAATAGGAAACAACAACCATGACATCGTCCTCCTAGATATGGCTTGTTAGTCACTAAAACCTAAACCAATCAGAAGGAAAATTTCGAAAAAGGAAAAAAGCCAAAATTCTCAAAATAAAGGAAGATCTTAAAATTTTCATAACAACATTCAAAAACGGACAAAAATGTTGAGTCTTTGTTTCAGGCATTCAAAACAGCCATACAAACCACCATATTGAAAAGAATACCGTCAAAAATTACTCAAGGAAGACACAAATGCATTCATGGATTAATACAATCAGTAGACGCAAAATAAACAAAAAACAAAAGGCACTCAAGAAGGCCAGAAAAAAACTAAAAAGAAAAGAGACAAGGACAGGTATAAAAGACTACAAAATCAAATCAAATCAAATCAAATAAAAAAAAATGGGAAATCAGTCAAGCGAACAAGAAATATATGGAAGAAGTCAGCTCTGATATATATCAAGAGCAAAGGACAAGAATGGACAGGAGTTGCACCGTTAAAAAATTTAATGAGATTTCTTCAAAGTGACAACAAAAGCACAGCTGACATTCTAAATGATCACTTTCAGTCAGTACTTACTAAGAAAACCTTAATAACTTCCCAAATAAAGGGTGAAGTCCATTTTCCACCATGAAGGACATTAGATTGCATCAACGGAGTTCACAAACTGTTAAAAAATCTTAAACCTCATAAAGCCACTGGTTCTGATTCAATACCATCTTTTATACTTAAAGTAGCAGCAGACCAACTTGCTCCCATTTTAACAGACCTATATCACTGAACACTGGCGAAGTCCCGCATGATTAAAGAGATGCACATGTATACCGCTTTTCAAAAAAGACGAAAGGCACTTAGCATCTAGAACATATTATACATATCAACGTAATGGACCACTTTGACACAAATAAAATACTTACTGATGCACAAAACGGATTCCGCAAAAGACGATCTTGTGAATCCCAAATGATCATAACCATCAACGATTTCGCATCAAATCAAAAAGAAACTGTCAAGTAGACATCATCCTTCTAAATTTTGCAAAAGCACTTGACAAGGTACCACATCACCGTCTATTACACAAGCTGGAATATTACGGCGGCAACCCAAAAACCAACAGATGGATTCGCTCCTTCCTACATAACAGGAAACAGAGCGTACTTATGGCAAGCCGTTTTACTATTTATTCTAACTTCAAGATATCTAATAAACTTTATAAGATATCTCATATAGTTTATAAAATATGTTATATAAGATATATTATATAGTTTATAAGATATCGTGTATAGTTTATAAGATATCGTGTATAGTTTATAAGATATCGTGTATAGTTTATAAGATATCGTGTATAGTTTATAAGATATCTTATATAATTTAAAAGATATCTCAAAAAATTTTCTTTATAAGATATCTTATAAATTATGAACTATATGAATATTAAGTATATAAGATATATTAGATAAAAAAAAAATTTATAAAATATCTTATAAACTATATGAGATATCCATATAGGTCTGTATAAACTTTAAAAGATATATTATATACTTTATAAGATATCTTATAAAGTATATAAGATATCTCATATAGTTTATGAGATATCTGATATACTTTATAAGATATCTTGTAAACTTTAGAAAATATCTGATAAAGTATATATGATATCTTTTAAACAATATGATATATATTATATAAGAAAATCTTATATATTACATAAGATATATCATATAGTTTAAAAGATATCTTATATAGTTTATCAGACATCTTATATAGTTTATACGATATCTCATATAGTTTTTAAGATATCTCATACAGGTTATGAGATATCTTATATAATTTTCTTTATACGATATCTTATAAACTATATGAGATATCTCCTAAACTATATAAGATATCTTATAAAATATAAGAGATATCTTACAAGGTTATAAAGTATATAAGATATATCTTGTAAAGTTTATAAGATATCTTATAAAACTAGATTATATAAGATATTTTATATATTATATGAGATATCTTAAAGTCAGATTAAATAGTAAAACGGCTTGCCAAACGTACTACTTGAGGGCGCTATCTCCACGCAAGTACCAGTACTCTCTGGTGTACTGCAAGGCACAGTTCTTGGACCGTTACTGTTCCTGACTTACATTAATGACATACCAGAACAGCAACTACATCACTCAGTGAACAAATTATTCGCCGATGGCAGCCTACTCTTTCGTACCATCACCAACCAAGCAGACAGTGACCTTATATAGAAAGACTTAACATCATTGAAAGGCTGGGAAAACAAATGGCAAATGAGTTTTAACGCCAAAAAAAATGCCTTGTCATAAGAATATCACAGAAAAATCGACCAGTGATACAAACAACATACAAACTACACGGTCATACTCTAGACACAGTTGAAGCTAGAAAATACCTAGGAGTAACAATCAGTAACAACCTAACCTGGGATAAACACATAGATAATACAGTTGGTAAAGGAAAAAGAACATGAGGATTTATACGCAGAAATCTCAAAGGCTGCACAAAACCTGTAAAGACAGCTGCATATGTATCCATGGTAAGACCGGCAGTGGAATATGCATGCACAGTAAGGGATCCAACAAACAAGAATAAGATCAAGGCAATAGAGCACTGAGGTACAGAAAAGAGCAGCAAGATTTGTGAACACTGACTACACAGATCGAACACCTGGCTGTGTCGCAAATATGGTGAAAACATTAAAATGGGGAAGCCTTGAATAACGGAGGAAAACAAACTGATCATGCATGCTAGTCAAGATCAAGCATGATCTAATCGACATAGACCGTCAACAATAATTGAACCCATCAGAAGTAAAAACCGCTTCTACCAAGAAAGAACATGTACAGATGCCTACGGCCAATCTTTCTTTCGACGGACCATCAGGGATTGGAACAATTTACCAACATCAGTATCATCGGCCAACACAGTTGAGGGATTCAATGTTGCCCTAAAATGCATGCTCTACCAAGGAACGAAACAACGCCTATAGTTGAACGTAATTTTAATTGTATAATATTGCAAACGTTCTCAAATGTAAAAAGCCAAGAGAGAACATTCTGTGTTGCCCGACACTCACATTCAGCTTTGAATCCGGTTCCTGAAGAAGCTAGCTGCCAACAAGGATTTGTATAGTGATATATACAAATCCTTGCTTTCCCTCGGTTCTTATTTTCCACTGTAAAATAAAGGGATAGCATATATTAAACTACTGTGATGGTAATATCGCATTGATAAGAGCAAAAACACTTTGACTAAGTGAAAACATTTGAACTTTAGGGGAATAATTACTAAACTAAGAAAAAAAAAGGGGGGTCCATCCCGGCAACAAGCGCTGAGTTTGATTTTAGTCAGTCCGTCTTTAGGAAACATCTGCATTCAATAAAAGTGCACTGACGTGCATAATAAAGAGACAACAGAACACCACAGAACTTTAAAAATTCCACCTCGGAATACAGAACCCTGGAGATAATATCTAAAATAATGTTGAGTCATTTCTCATGTCATTAATGCCTTTTATGTATTATTTATAAAAATCAAAACTGCCAATTCTAATAAATAATAGCGATTACTTAGTTGTATGAGAGTAAATGAAAAGTGGTGTCTTAAAATTGTTTAAATGAGGAATCAGTTAATTTAAAAGATTGTGTATTCGATATTTATTTGTTTTGAAATTGTCTGTCAATCAATTTTGACAGATTTGAATACACAAAATGATTGGTTTTCAAAGGAGGAGTGATTCGCTTAGTTCCATATATGGAAGCCGACAACAACAATAGTCCCGTCTCAGACATACTACGCCATAGTTGATTAGAGGAGAACTGGGGTCAGAAAAGTTTGGCCAACTTCCCAGAATTTGTACCAGAGGAAGAAAATAAACAGTGCGAAAACATCATTGATGTAACAAACTATATTTAAATTGCACGGATCAGCTAACACATGTGAAGAGATCAAACTTAACTTTTCGGATATGAAAGTTAGAAAAAGATGACCATGGTAAGATGATACTGCGCCTCTGCATGTGTGAATTGGTTTTTTTTCGCCGAAGATCGCATAGATTTACAATTTTCTCATTTTTCTCTCAATTTTACTTTCTAGTCTTATTTAGATATAGATAAAAGTAGTGATATTATTTGTGTTTTCTTTGAAAATGATCGAATGGTGAGGGATTATTTTTCAAAATGGCGGATGCTCGGAAAAGTCAGTGTTCGTGTCTTGACGTGCATTTTCTCCTTTCGATATGAATTACTGGTCGTAATTACCACATTCATACTTAACAATTTTGTCTTTTGTGCAAATGGTACAAATCTTGACCGAGAAAGTCGTACCTAGTCGTCATATAGCGAATTTTATGTACCAAGCGAATGATTAGATTGTTGCCGCTTATACCCATGAAAATTAACTATAAAGTACTCCAAGAAAAGAAATACAAGCATGAACATCAGAAAAGTCACTTATTTGTATAGTTACCAGTATAGATTACCAATTACACAAGGAAATCCTATATTGAACAATTTAATGAAATTGTTATTAAAGTAATACTTTTTTTGTTGCAATTATGCCCCTTAAGTAAGAGAAAATTTTAAATATTTGACCTTTGCCAGCAATTGTGCAAAATCTTTTTTTCTTGTTGCATTCTATTCATTCAGTAAAGTTTCTTTTTACAACGATTTTTCATTGTCCTTAACTGATAAATTTTTAAAGATTTGGCCTACAGACTCAAATGGTTTGACTGTTTTCATGATAATGACAGCCCTTGCACATTCCCCTAGTAATTGAATTCTGGCTGAACATGCTATTAAATAATGCCCAGATACCATTAGCAGAGTCTTATCATTACAAAGATAATCTTCTTTCTGTCTCAATATCTTTTAAACATGTCTCCGATCAGATTGATTAATAATGGAAAACTACATGTTTGCTTGTTGCTTACCACCTAGATCAAACTTAACTTTTCGGATATGAAAGTTAGAAAAAGATGACCATGGTAAGATGATACTGCGCCTCTGCATGTGTGAATTGGTTTTTTTTCGCCGAAGATCGCATAGATTTACAATTTTCTCATTTTTCTCTCAATTTTACTTTGTAGTCTTATTTAGATATAGATCACATTACTCAATCTCTCAGTCATCGAGTCTGATCTTTTGCTTAAATGTTCATTGCAAAGGGGAAATAGTAAATCTCACCTTGATTGTAGCTATATACAGGAGGTTGTGGGTTTGATCCCTGGCCGGATCAAACCAAAGATTTACTATTCTTTTGCAATGAACATTTAAGCAAAAGATCAGACTCAATGACTTAGAGATTGAGTAATGTGTCAAAGGGCGAGTTTATTTATCTTCTAGGGTAAGTAGTGGAGTAACTCGAGTGAAAATTAAACGCATAGAGTATGCACTCGAGTGACGTCATCGACTTACTCTCTTCAACCCACCACTGGACCACGATTCCTCGAGTTCCAAGATGGCGTCTGAAGAAGAAAACATGCAAGATGCAGTTGTTAAAATCTACACAGTATGTTAATATCTTTGCAGATTATCGATTTTACTCGATAAAGAACAAATACGTGTGATGTGGCATATTTATTATTTTTAACTTCATCATGCAAGAGAAATGTACGTACCTGATCACGTACTTAAATTATTTAAATGAGGCAAAAATTTCTGACGAGTTGCCAACAACTGAACCGATAGAAGATTTTCTAAATACTGCTATTGAAACATATGAGGCAAGCAGTCCGAAGAACTTTGTTTCGGCCTCTCTCCACAGTTTATTTGATAAAGAAATTAATATATGCACTGTAGATTTAATTTGGTTAGACAATATAGATCTACTTATTATGCATAGCTATAATTAGTCTGTAGTTAGACTGATAACTTACGTAACAGAGATTATTTAATGTAGCATTTACAACTGTCTTGGTTACGTTAAAAACTGAAGCCTTGCATACACCAAAATAGTGACCAATTTCGCGATGTGACTCCATATATGCCATATAGCATAAACATATAAGAAGTTTTTTGTCTGGTGAAATGGGCACTTTCCCTCCCTCAATATCTGGTACGAGATCGTTTTTTACAACATCTAATATTTGTTCGAATGTTTGTGCGCTGATCCTAAAATGAGATTGAAAGTCAACAGGAGCAAATATTGTAATAACTGTTTCTGCGTAGCATGTAATCCGTGAAACATGGGGTCTAAGGAGCAATGATGCAATGGTAATAGCTAAATTATTCATTTGCGTGTGTCTAGCCATTGCTAGATTGTCTAGGCCCTTCATATTCCATATGAACATGAAACATTGCATGTTGTTGTCAACTTCGTCCTCCATGTTGAGAGTTACTCTAGTATCGAGTTTTCCGTTCACGTAAAACATTGCGCGCGCACAGGCGCTAGAATAACCAGAGTAAGTGTAGAGTAGATAAATAAACTCGCCCAAAGGGTCTAGTACAAAGCAGGGGTCATACTCATATCACATTAACATGTTCCCGTCCTGATATGTATATAAAATTTGCCATTGGATGGTAAACACCCATTCATCTATCCATCCATCATCATTTGTTGCTTTGCTTGATGGTGAAATCTATAATGCGACTGGCTTAACAATAGCAATAAAATCAATTATTCTATTAAAATTGCTAATTAGGTTATGTAATACTGGACTTTGCCATATTTGTCAAACCTGTATGTCTTGACCTGGAAGTTTAATCTTTCTGTCATTTAAACATATTGTATGAATGTCGTACTGTTTCATACTTTAAAAAAAGTAGATATGATGATACATGTACATGTTGGTAATTAGCTTGATCACAAGATCCTGGTTTCCAATATTTTGTAAAATTTACCGTTAGGGACTATAATTTTGGAACCATTTTAAGTAATTACATTTTACAACAATGTAGATAGTAGGGTGGCCCATCCAAATCTTAGCTAGAAAGATTTTCAATTTTGTGAAAATGTAGCAAGGTTGATGATGGTTAAAAGTGTTTCTTAATAAAATATTTGTTCCAAACAGAATTGCACATATATGCTCTGAGGGCACAGAATTGTTGAGTTTGTATATTATAAACTCGTCAGAATCAACTGGGACTGGTCACTGCAAAAAGTGATGTTTTCTAGGACTCGCCTTAAAAAAATTCCTAGTGAGAACCCTAAGCTCTTGTCAAAATCTGCAAAGAGTTATAAGATCCAGGACTTTACCCTAATTATGTATCTTAGGGAAACCTTGTATAAACTGACACACATCAGAAGTGAGTCTTCACTGATCAAACATTATGGTCAGACCTCATATTTACTGTGTATTAACAAAATAATGCTGAAAAAAAACTTTCATACAAGATTGTATTTACTTTCAGGATGAATTCCACCCATTTATCGAGGCTCTGTTGCCTCATGTGAAGGCATTCTCTTACACATGGTTCAACTTACAGGCAGCTAAAAGAAAGTATTACAAAAAACATGAGAAAAGAATGAATATGGAAGAAGAGAGACGTGTGAAAGAAGAACTTCAAGTAAGGATAAAAACAAAAAAACAAGCTTTAGATTCAGTATTTTTTGTGGTAAATTTCATGTGACAGGTACATGTAGATGGTTGCTATTCATTTCAGAATAGGAAATAGAAAATGTACAAGGACAAATTCAAGGTACATTTGTACATGTAAGAAAATAAGTCAATATATGCAGGGTTCTCATTAAGGTGTGTACATGTGCCTGGATGCCTCATTCACGAACCAGTTCATAGTAGGACATATCCTGATAACACTAGCTGAGTCCTGTTAATCATCAAGATTAATCTTCAACTGTCAAAAAGTGTCCCAAAACGTGCTTGTTGTCAATATTTTAACTGAAAACTGACTCTCATTTTCATTCATTGCTTTGTGAAAGATAAACAAATCCTGAGAAAGGTGAACAGTGATGCAATTATGATCCACTCATCAAAATCAGCTGGGACTCACCATTTTAAAAAGTGACTCATCACTTTTTGAAATTTAATCATGTTCATGGTTCTGCATACACGAAGAGAACCCTTTATGTAGTATACTGGCTAATTGGGAATACATGTAATAATATTTTATCAATAAAATATCAAAACCATGTTCTCAAAGTTTACATATTACATATCGTTGTGTATAACAAATATTTCATACAATGTTCTCAAATTTTACATATACATATCTTATAATCTTGTGTATGAACAATATCCATACCATGTTCTCAAAGTTTACACATAAAATATATCTTGTGTATTGACAAATACTCCATGCCATGTTCTCAAAAAGTGGATTCATTCATTTTTGTGGTTTGAGAAAAAAAAAATTGTTTGTAAATATTTGATTTTTTTGGTTCTGCCAATGTCTGTGTATATATATTTAAATGGATAGTAGCTACTTATTATTTTTTTAACTTATATGCAGGGTTTTGTACAAAAAGTTGATTAAGTATAAATTAATCTATCATTGTTTACTTTCCATTTAGCATTTCTGCACCAAAATCTTTTCCAACTATTAGTCCTAAAACCAATATTCTGACATTTTTCTTATGTGTTTATACAAACTTTGGCAAATACTTACTAGTCCAAAAAAAAATTAGCCTGGGGCATTGGTCTAGTGTCTAACAGTGCAGACTGGCTTTTTACCGTTTTACACTTGAAATTAATTTTTGTCTACCAGACAAAAAATTTGATGTGAAGCCAACCCTATTCATATGACTATGTTGACCTTAACTCAGCAGTCCTCACTGCGCAATTGCATGTTGTCCCTCTAAGGGAAAATGTCGAACAGAGGAATGTTATACAGGGAAATGAAACTTGTATTGACAGTTTCTGTGAGAAAAAGGAACAGAAAAGAGGTGCAGACAAGGTATTGTAAATTGAAAATAAATAACAGCAAAGAAATCGGTCATTATCCTGTCACACAGTCAAAGTCACACAGAAGTAGCCAACAATACAACGGTGTGTGAAATATTTATATTTCTAAATTATTCCGATCACATGAAATCAAATCGTGCCATGTTCAAATCGTTATTGTCCAAAATAAATATGTTTATTGATTTACGGGCAGAGATCTCTCAACTTAAAAGAAATTAATAACAACTTCTTACAGTTTAATACTATTCTTCTGGTGTATCCTTCACAATGGCCCCAATTCAATTCACAAACACATGAATATATTATCTGTATTGTTTGTCATACAAATGAAAAAACAAGTGTATAATATAGCCATTGTTTGAGAACCTTTTTCTAATAATATACAGGTACAGGCTTTTGTTATATTTTGTTATTTTTACATAATTTGATAAATGGTGTCAAATACATACATTTAATTCAAAGAAATAATCAAATTCTTTTGAAAACAAAAAGCACATGTTTTTATCGGGGTCATTTTTCTTGCTGTGTCTGCAAAGTTCAGGAAATAAACCTGATGCATAAATAATGAGATGAATAGGCACCCAACATCATATCAATTAAGAATTATTAACACTTCTGTAGTTTATGTTCATATTTCAGCGATCATATTGTGAATATTAGGTAAATATCTTTGATCATGGCAGCTTTAAAACTTTGTTATGTGTTGAAATTGTAGCTACATTTGTTAAAATAAAACTAAAATGAATCAATGTTTGCTGTCTTGCAGTGAACTGAATATCTCTTTTATACAAGTTGTAAGACACAAAAAACAAAAACAATAAACTGTCACGTGCACGGTTCTGAAAACACAAAAAGTATTTTCCTTTCCAATCAACACCAGAAAATCATTTTTTGAATTTATACATGTAGTAACAAATGTTCTTCTAAAATAACATTTTGGAAATGTTCACTGCATTACAAACTTTTATGGTAGTATTTTAATCATACAATTACATTTTTCAGTGTGCATGACACATGTTAATGGAATAGCCTTTATCATGAACTCTCAAAGGTTTTGTGTTGATGGTTGATCTCTGATAGTTACTGTTTATTTTATTCACAACTTAGTTATAGATGGGGAAGTATTAAGAGATGAACATATTGAATAGACACCTACATGTATGTTGTTGAAAACTGTACCTCTACATGACTATAGTTATTGTTGTTGTGAGTTGCTGTCCAATTAACACATACCCCACTTTTCCTTTTATTTATACACATTGAATTGTAGAGATGCTTAACTGTATTTATGATGCTCAGTTTAATATGGATTTTTCTTGTTTCACCAGAATGAAAAACCAGAAATCAAACAGAAATGGGCTTCCAGATTATTAGCAAAGTTACGGAAAGATATAACCCAGGAATGTCGAGAAGATTTTGTGTTAAGCATGACAGGAAAAAGGCCTCCAGTTTGTGTAACAAGTAATCCCGATCAAAAAGGAAAAATGAGACGAATAGACTGCTTAAGACAAGCAGACAAAGTGTGGAGATTGGACCTTGTCATGGTGATTTTATTCAAAGCTATTCCACTGGAAAGTACTGATGGTGAACGATTAGAAAAATCACATGAGTGTATGAACCCTGCTTTATGTGTAAATCCTCATCATATAAGTGTGTCTGTGAGGGAATTAGATCTCTATTTGGCTAACTTTATACACAGTTATGGTAAGTTTCTGCAAGGGAAGTGTACATATATCTCTATTTTAAATTATTTGCACACCGTTAGGTAATTATATTTGTATTTTGTGACCATTATACACAGTATGTATATTCACATTATACACAAAATTTGCTTGGGAAAAGAAGTCTAACTTTATACACAGTTATTGTTTTTAGAGAATAGAAGACTATTTATAGTAGTTTCTGTAATGGAAGTAATCTCTGCTATGTAGACCGTAGCATGTATGATAAGTTTCTGTAGTAAGTCATCTCTATTTGGACTGCTATGTAGACAATAGCATGTATGAAAAGTTCCTGTAGTAAGTTATCTCTATTTGGACTGCTATGTAGATAGTTATGGTAAGATCTGAAAGGGAGGACAATCATGTTTTGACAGTTAACTTGTGTACAGTTATGATAAGTGTCAGTGAGGAAGTAAATCTTTATCGACATACTGTATGACAGTTATGGTAAGATTCAATAGCTTGTACATTGTGCATCTCTATCACAAAATAACTTAAAATTAACCTATAAGGAAGAGAAAAGTGAAGACAAAAAAAAAGACAAGGAAGAAGGAAAGTGTTGTGTCAAATACATTTGTTGGAAGGTGAAAGTGCCAAATGTTGTTATACAAATGTTTAACAATTCATTTACGTATTAACAGATTTTTTTATGTATTACCTCAAAAGCAGAATATATTCAAGTTATTTCCATACTTCAAAAATGTATGTGTACATTTTTGATATGGTTTTTATACTAGTATATATTAATGTTATTTCTACAATTTACAGTACCAGATCCCAGATCAGATTATGCTGACATGCAGATGAATGATCATGATATCAAAGGTAATACAATTACAATATACACTGGAGTCCCCTGTGTCCGCACGGCCCATGATATCGCACATTACCTGAATTCTTCACATCTGCAATGCAACACAAAAAGAATCGTTCTTGCTTTTTTTTTAGTCTTCCAAAGGGACAGAAAACATTAAAATTGATAAATTCAAGCAGAAATTTATAAATGCAATACCATGATTAACCATATTTAGCCTAATTTTCCTAATTTTTGACACACATTACACAAAATATTTAGGGTGAAAACATACTTAAAGAAGAAATTATGAAATTAAAGTATGTCATGAATTTGTACATACCATATTATATGATTATTGGTTTTATGAGTTTACCAAAATGAAGCCAAAAGTCTTAGGTGCACAGATACATCGGACTGCACCGTGCTGAATATAGATGTCTTTCAATATGTTTTGCAAAAATTCAAGACACAAAAATGACAGGTTATTTACTTAATATGGCAATTTTTATCGAGTGGTACTGAAAGCATAAAGAAATCTATGATCTTATCTACTTGAGAAATAATGTATTGTCGAGAAAAATAAGTCAGTTTAAAAATGTACAGAAACTCATTTTTGCTAAAAACAAGAGTAATATATATTTAATTAGTTAAAAAAACCTATGATAAACTTATTGTTAAGTTTGTAAGCTGCCTTTGAGACCACATGATTTCTTCCTATGTTACACAAACTGCACAAAGATATGTCAATATAAGTGTAAAGAATGCAATTGCAGATGAGAAATGGATCACAGTAATATCATGCTATTCACTGTTTTGCTATGTCCATTATGTATATATATTGTAAGAAATTTATTCTTCACAGAGCAGTAGTTGATAAAGTAGTTGCATAGACATTTAAATGGATGAGTTGTAGCATGTGGACCAACAAATAACTTAATTGGAAATTTACTCTGCAACTTATTTTAAAAGATGTACCGGTACCCTTAAAATACACAATACAGGATTTCGTATTTCTACAAAGATGAAAGAAGTTCAGTTGGTTATGTAGTTAGTTAGTAAAGATAAGAGCTAAGAATTGTTGGTAATAATTTTACTTTGATTGACAGTGCCTGGAAATATTCACTCAGGGGTATCAGGAAATGACAGCATCTCGGCCACAGGTGTATTTTCTGCAAGAGAATTGTTACGGGTTACAAGACGTATGTATATATTTTCTAATACATGTACTTATTCCTGTTGAAAACATTATTCCTCTTTATCTAGAGTGTGGAAAAAAAATTGGGAATGTGAAATTTTGTTGCAGTGCAGTTATAAGAGAAAACTCCAGAACAAAAACTGGTCAATGGGTCAAACACCAATTTATAAGATAAAAACACCAAAACTTAAGCACAAAATAGTTGTTCTCTATAACAGAATATGGTGGGTCCAATATTCAAACTTAAAAAGGTCTTTGGTAAGGGTTTGCAAAAGAGAATAAAACATTTAGAATACACGAGTTTTCAATGACTGGCTTAGCAGTGTGAACCTGTTATTGTTTAAATTGTTATAAAATTTGGTGGTTGGACCTTTTGTCCTTCAGGGATGCCGCTACTATAGTATTTGGGGCCAACTGACAGCACCATTCCCAACTCACAAAAATATAAAGTTGTTGCAAATTGAATTTTGAAATACGGATTACTTTCGGGTCCGTATCGGGAAATGTGCCCTGAATAGCATCTTGTCTCTTCTTAAACCAGAGACAGTGTAGAAACTCACTGCATGTTTATTTTCAACCATTTGGCGTATTCTTATTCTGCTGTTATTTTCAATTATCAGGTGTGAATATATGAAAAGAAACGAGGATATAAGTTGAAATATAAAAAACTTTTTTGACTTTTTGTTATTTATATGTAATGTTTATATTTATTTTGTTAATTTGAATGCAAAAGTCAAAAGTGTTATATTGTCCAGTTGAAATTAAACATAAGAAATTGAACTTTATTAGAGAAGGTAAAATTGGCCATGTTGGTATATTTGAATTGTTTACACCTGTTTCGGTGGGCTTTAAAAGTTTAATGTAGGTGCACAATTTAAGATTTTATGCATCTTATATACGTGTATTTACTTAAATTATAGTATGGAGCTTCAAGATATTTGTTAACTTTTAGATTAAAAGACAAATTTTCACAAAACAGTCGATTGTGGTAGCTATAGGTGCAAATAAATGTGGATCTTTATTGTGCATAAGCATGAATTCCACTGAAAAAAATCCACAGAAAGGTAAAAAGATTGATCTTATTGGAGCATTAATTTGCATTCCTGCCCCCGACAACAGCTTTTAGGGAAAACATCCTTAAAACCGGCAATAATTTCATTGAAAAGAGAATGTTGAGTACAGATTCTATTATTTTCATATATTTAGGCTACAGGTTGATATGATAACATTAAACATTCACAGTACTAAAACCTGAAAAGTGATATACCTTTCGAATGAGTCATAACAACGGAGAAGGTGTGTTTGAATAACAAATTTTCACTAAAAGTACTTGACTACAGACTTTACTTGTGGATCTTTTTTGTGCATAACTTTAAAAAAGTTCAGTTTTTGTGTGTGTTATCAAGGGTAATTAGTCTTCAAACTCTGAAATTTTTTAGTCTGCCCTTCCACAAAATATTTAATTAGAATTATTTTTAGTGTTTTTGAACTTTTGAAAATTCCCCCCAAAACGATAAGCCAATAGTTTTTGAGTTGGCTAAAGGTATAAAAGTACATTAGATTATGCTTAATAGCTAGTAGATACTTTTGTCTTTAAAAATGTAATTGTCATACAAGGATCGTAATCATGCCATGAGGATAAATTTATCAGTTTTCAAGAGCTTAATTGACAGCGCTTCATCCCTGCATTGGCTTTCATTTTTACGATTGAAAAATGAGATGGCGTAATGGGAGATAATTTTGACTAAGTAGAATCCTCACTGAGATAGCCTATTCAAACTCTAATTACTGTTTTTCCCTTTTGTCTTTTGAACCTCCCCTCTGCCCTGAAAATTTAATATAGAATAACTTATTTAATCCAAGAATTCAAGTATAGAAAAATATTCAAAGAGTGACTGAACAATACATTTATTCATGATGCATGAAGTGCATGAGTTAATTATCGGTGTTGTTCGGTCACAAGTTCACTCTTTATTATAAATGTTAAAACACAACTGAGTTTGCAATTTTTGGATTGTTTACACCTATTTCTATGGTAATTTTAGTTAAATGCAGCTGAACATTTGACGGATGGAAAAGCGACTTCTTTGCCCTAGTTGCCCAGGAGCGAGAATCCTGCATATTGTAGCAAAAAGGGATTTTTTAAACTGAAAATTATATTACATTGTATGTAGTTAACAAGAAAAGCTTTTAAATACAGAAAATTGCATATTCAAAACACAAATACACAAAATCATCCAACATAATGGAACCAATAGTATAAACTCTGTATTCTAAAAAGAAATTGAGACATTATATCTGATAACTATGTTATGACTAATAATTTATGTTTTTAAACAAACTGAATAGCTATTAATGTTTTATGTATTTTCAGACAATATCAATCTTTTTGCAGCATCTATTGTTTTACCGCAGAATGGAATACATCCTATGATGCCCCCAGCAAAACAAATGGACAGTCCCAGTTATTATAACTATAGTGCCCAGGACATAGTGATGCATGTTCAGCAGGGTCTTCAAAATGGCCCTGCCCTGAGTCCTTCAGGGAACCCTCACAAACGATTAAAACGTACAACTATGAGTTCTATTTCGTCAGCAGACGATGAGGTAGAAAGTGTAGGTGATGAAAGTGAGTCAATGAGTAGTTACTATGGAAAATCTCAGGCAAATCTGAGTGGAAATAGCTCAGCAGGTTGGCAAGGCGATAGTATGGATCCAGGTCAGTATAATTGACATATTGATTAATCTGTAAACATTCTGTTTTGAATGAGGTATTTTTCTGTTACCACAATTTTAGTCAACTATTAACAAATTTGTTTATTTTGTTGTATGCCTCTCTTTTTGTAAGAAGACATTGCATGAGGAGTGAAAAAAATGTTCCTAAAAAAAATTCATATACACTATACTGTCAAGCTACTGGTAAAATTCGTAACTTTCATAGATTGTGATGTTCCATAAACCATGGAAATTTGAACCTACAAACATGACAAATAAAAATACTTATATCAGTAGTTCATTGCACTGAACTGAGTCACTCATTTGCCATTGTTGAGAAATTGTTTCATTTAGTACATTGTAAAGATACCACTGTGATGTAATTGTTATCCCAGAAACATAAGTAAATTTACATAAATGTTTTCTTCATGGGTAAGTTTTTTTGATACATGAAGTAAGACTTTGATTTTTAAAAAAAACACATTATATTATTCATTGATAATAGATAAGTGGATTGTTGGTAATATTTCCAGTATATAGACTTGTTGTCATCTTCTTCTAAAACCAAAACTTTTCTTTTTTAGCTCACCTGGCCCAAAGGGCCAAGTGAGCTTTTCTCATCACTTGGTGTCCGTCGTCAGTTAACTTTTACAAAAATCTTCTCCTCTGAAACTACTAGGCCAAATTTAACCAAACTTGGCCACAATCATCATTGGGGTATCTAGTTTAAAAAATGTGTCCGGTGACCCCGCCAACCAACCAAGATGGCCGCCATGGCTAAAAATAGAACATAGGTGTAAAATGTAGATTTTGGCTTATATCTCTGAAACCAAAACATTTTAGAGCAAATCTGACGTGGGGGTAAAATTGTTTATCAGGTCAAGATCTATCTGCCCTGAAATTTTCAGATGAATCGGACAACTCGTTGTTGGGTTGCTGCCCCTGAATTGGTAATTTTAAGGAAATTTTGCCTTTTTTATACGCCCGTTTACGGGATGTATTATGGTATACCGTTGACCGCCCGTCTGTCTGTCCGTCTGTCCGTCCGTCCGTCGTCAACATGTTGGACATAACTCAAAAATGCTTTTACCAATATGCATGAAACTTTGGTGAATTGTTTATATCTACTCACGTGAGCTCCCTTTCGTTTTTTATAAATTTCGAATTTACCGTTTCCGAATTTTGAAGTTTTATTCATTAAAAAAGGGGGGATTTTCCAGTTTTCGGACAATAACTCAAAAACAATATCACCAATTTGCAAGAAACTTTGGTGAATTGTTTAATGCCATCGACATGAGCTCCCTTTTGATTTTTATAAATTTTAGACTATACGTTTCTGATTTATGGGGTTTTATTTGTTACAAAAAGGGGGATATTCCTGTTTTCGGAAAATAACTCAAAAATGCTTTCAGCATATTTTATGAAACTTTAGTAAATTGTTTATATCTATTGTTGTAAGCTCCCTTTTGATTTTTATAAATTTTAGATTTTAAGTTTCCGAGTTACAAGATTTTATTCATAAAAAAAGGGGTGATTTTCAAGTTTTTGGACAATATCCTTAAAGTGCTTAGAGCAGTTTTCATTAAACTTTGATGACTGATTTATATCTATTCAGATAACCTCCCTTTAGTTTTTTTTATAAATTTCTAATATAACATTTGAGAAGTTATTGAACTTTATTTGTTTATAGTCTGACAACAGATTTACTAGTATTGCGCAACAGCACAGTGTATTGCACAACAAAAAGAAATCTTTAATTGAATATAAATTCAATTCATATAACCAATTTCAAGTTCTTTGACTACATTTATTCAGAAACCTATAATATGTCAAATATTTAATTACAATCCAAATTCAGACCTGTATCAAGCTTGAATATTGTGTCCATTTTTGCCCCAACTGTTCAGGGTTGGACCTCTGCAGGCGTATCCAGCTGCGCTCAGCGAAGCAGTTTATTGGTTATTATCTTGAATATTATTATAGATAGAGATAAACTGTAAACAGCAATAATGTTCAGCAAAGTAAGATCTACAAATAAGTCAACATGACCAAAATGGTCAGTTGACCCCTTAAGGAGTTATTGCCCTTTATAGTCAATTTTTAACCATTTTTCGTAAATTTTTGTAATCTTTTACAAAAATCTTCTCCTCTGAAACTACTAAGACAAATTTCACCAAACTTGTCCACAATCATCATTAGGGTATTTAGTTTAAAAAATATGTCCGATGACCCCGCCCGCGAACGAAGATGGCGGACATGGCTAAAAAATAGTACATAGGGTAAAATGCAGTTTTTGACTCATATCTCTGAAACCAAAGCATTTAGACAAATCTGACGAGGATAAAATTGTTCATTAGGTCAAGATCTATCTGCCCTGAAATTTTCAGACCAATCAAGCAACACGTTGTTGGGTTGCTGCCCCTGAATTGGTAATTTTAAGAAAATTTTGCAGCTTTTGGTTATTATCTTGAATATTATTATAGATAGAGATAAACTGTAAACAGCAATAATGTACAGCAAAGTAAGATCTACAAATAAGTCAACATGATCAAAATTGTCAATTGACCCCTTAAGGAGTTATTGCCCTTTATAGTCAATTTTTTACAATTTTCATAAATTTTGTAAATTTTTGTAAATTTTTACAAAATATTTCCCACTGTAACTACTGGGCCAAGTTCATTATAGATAGAGATAATTGTAAGAAGCAAGAATGTTCAGTAAAGTAAGATCTACAAACACTTCACCATCACCAAAACACAATTTTGTCATGAATCCATCTGTGTCCTTTGTTTAATATGCACATAGACCAAGGTGAGCGACACAGGCATTTAGAGCCTCTAGTTAAAGAATTTAGCCAGAAACCACAGTTCTATGGAGATCCGTTTTTCAACAAGAACATACATTTTTAATAAGAATTTTAGCTCTTACATTGTAAACTTGAAACTAATATTATTATAGTCATCAAAATATAAGCTAATACTATGAGATGAGTAAAAGTTTACATTGATTACCTAGTTCAATTGACGATAGACTGCAAGATAAGTTATAATTTTGATAAGATGTAAACACAGACTACAAAGTTTTTTTACTTTTTGAAATTATTTCCTGTTTGTGAAACTGTTTATATCTTTAAAAAGACTCGGGTTAGTGTAATGTAATGTGAAACTACATTGGTAATATATTATTAAAGACTCAGGTTAGTGCAATGTATATAGTGTTTGAAGATAGTTGGATTTCAATAAACAAAAGTTGCTAGGTTAAAACCATGTATTAGGCTGATTGGCTGTTTACTGCATTCTTTTTTGTTTTTGTTTTTTTAATTTAGTACAAGTAGATAGACATCTTTGCTTAAGTAGAGGATTTTAAACTTTATGTAGTGGAAGAAGATTACAATTTTAAATGGCAAAATTTAAAAAAAATTTTAACAAATAAAACATGTATACCATTCTCTTTAGGTTAGATCTGTGTTCTTGGTACATGTACATGTATTCAAGAGGAAGAAACATTTGCATGTATTTCAACCAAGAAGAATGTTAACAATACTTATTATAGAATTTGCTATGTTTATATCTTTGTTGTGATGCTAACTATATAACATATCATTTTTCATGCATTTCCCACATATTTCCTTTGTTCTTGAAATAGTCAAATGTTCAACAATAATGAATGTTTCAATCATTTTGAAAATTAAGACTTTACCCTTTTTATGAAGAATGAATTTCAAAGAAACCTTCAAGTACATGAAATAGGTTTGAGAGAATTTATTGATACATATAATCCTGCACTTTGTGTAGGTGGACAGATTTATTTATTTATCAGCATTACAAAAAGATTTCTCTATTATCTATGAATGAGTACCAACAAGTCTGGGGATGACATATTTTTATACATTTTACGTTTTATATAGCAATGGATAAAATTTGATACCAAAAAAACCTGCCCGATTATAATGTCAAAAATACCACAAGAACTAAATCATTTTAGAGAGAAAAAACAGACGTTTAAAAGCATCTAATAGCATTACTTTTTTAAAACTGATGAATGATTTGTGCACCAACACTTTTGGTTGGGGTAGTTTCTTGAGTATTAGACAATATTTTTATTCATTAAATGTTTACAAATCCCCATATTCAATAGATTATTAGACAGTAATAAAATAGATAGATTTTGTAAATGTTTGTTTATAAGAACAAAGGAGATATATGGTTGATTTGTAGTGGCTTTTGTACACAGGTATCACAACTCATAGCCCACCAGTCATGTCATCACATATCATCATCCATAGTAGTAAAGCCAGCGATTTTACCCCAGTCCGTTGTGTGCCAACTCCTCCACGATCAACCTCATCCCCAGGTAGATATAACCTTTCTAATTTTGTCTCTTATAAAATAGTTAAGATCTTTTTTGTGCTTCATGTTGTTGATGAGAATGTTACAAGCATGGAATTAAAAGTGAGACACTAGCTCATAAGAAAACATGAATGGTTCACTTTTTTTTAAGATAGTAGAGTTATATGTAGTTGGTTGTTACCCCCACATGATAATAAATCCTTTTATAAGATAAGCTTTTGCCTTCACTCCACACTTATACATATTGTGTTTACCCAATGAGAAGTGCCAGTTGGTTGTTCCAAAAAAATAAATATGGAAAAAGCAAACATAAACAATCTTTCAGAATATGCCAAAAAGGTTATAACCCAGATTTAGTGGTTCACTGAACATGGAATTGTGATTGCTAATTGGACATGGTGTTCTACTGACATATTTTTGTTTTGTGCAGAATATATACTTCAGATGATGTTATCATACTCACACTCAAGAATTTGGGGCTACAAGCAATTTGTCTATCTGCCCGTTAGTCCAACAAATATTCCTGTCACACTTTTCTCAGGTATCATGGAACAGAATGAGTTCAGAACTGGTCAGAATCTTGACATTTTTCTCGGGTATCATGGAACAGAATGAGTTCAGAACTGGTCAGAATCTTGACATTTTTCTCGGGTATCATGCAACAGAATGAGTTCATAATCAGTAAGGATAGGGATAGGTTGTGAAAAAAGAGCACTTTTCATATGCATTGAACACCTTCTTTCCGTTTATACCTTGATTTTTTTTTAATTTGTTGAATATATTTAATCAAATTTAATTTTTCCAATACTCTCTAACAGAATGAGTATATATTTTGTAAGCAGCTTGGCAGTGATGAGTTGTAACATGTGAGCTTTTGCCTGCGTAGTCACAGGTGGAAGCAGGTCTAGTTACTACAAGACTCAGTCAGTCTGTTCGTCCAAAAGAAAACTATGGTCAAAGTTTTCTTGGCTTCTATGAAAGGGAAAGATTAAATACTTGGTCTTCAGCTGGATAATGTTGAGTTGTAGCAAATAAGCAGTACTTGCGTCTACAGTCTGTTAACCGATACCTTGAAATTTTATATACTTAACACTCATTATACAAGGAAAGTTTTTCGCTGTGTAGCCTTTTTGCTGATAGTTTGAAATTTACAACACTCATTGTACAAGGAAAATGTTTGTGAAAGTTTTCTTGGCTGCTATTGAAGTAAATGATTTTAATAATTGGTCTGGGAATGATATTATGCTCTGGTATACATGTTACCTCAGTTTCATGCAGTGACGCAGGTCCAGACCTGTATTGGTCTTGTTTCAGATGGATTTAACGCCAGCTTCCTGTTTGAAGATACTTTGAAATTTTTCAATATGTTGAATGAACTTAAAAAATTTAGTCACACATTTTACCAGTACTCCTGAACAGAATGACTACATATTTGATCAGTAGATTGGCAGTGATGAGTTGTAATGTATGGGTACTTTTTATATGACCGCAAAAAAATTTTGCGGTCGTATATTGGTATGACGTTGGCGTCGTCGTCGTTGTCCAAAGACACATTGGTTTTCGCACAATAATTTTAGTTTAAGTGAATGGATCTCTATGAAATTTTACCATAAGGTTCAATACCACAAAAGGAAGGTTGGGATTGATTTTGGGGGTTATGGTACCAATAGTTAAGGAATTAGGGGCCAAAAAGGGGACAAAAATAAGCATTTTTGTCGAGCCTTCGACTTTTGTCGAAAAAGCGAGACATAGCGATCCTACATTCCGTCGGCGTCGTCGTCGTCGTCGGCGGCAGCGGCGTCCACAAATATTCACTCTGTGGTTAAAGTTTTTGAAATTTTAATAACTTTCTTAAACTATCCTGGATTTCTACCAAACTTTGACAGAAGCTTGTTTATGATCATAAGATAATATTCAAAAGTAAATTTTGTAAAAAAAAAATTCCATTTTTTCCGTATTTTACTTATAAATGGACTTAGTTTTTCTGCCAAGAAACATTACATTCACTCTGTGGTTAAAGTTTTTGAAATTTTAATAACTTTCTTAAACTATCCTGGATTTCTACCGAACTTGGAAAGAAGCTTGTTTTTGATCATAAGATAGTATCCAGAAATAAATTTTGTAAAAAAAAAAATCCATTTTTTCCGTATTTTACTTATAAATGGACTTAGTTTTTCTGCCAAGAAACATTACATTCACTCTGTGGTTGAAGTTTTTGAAATTTTAATAACTTTCTTAAACTATCCTGGATTTCTACCAAACATGGAAAGAAGCTTGTTTATGATCATAAGATAGTATCCAGAAGTAAATTTTGTAAAAAAAAATCCATTTTTTCCGTATTTTACTTATAAATGGACTTAGTTTTTCTGCCAGTTAACATTACATTCACTCAGTGGTTAAAATTTTTAAAATTTTTACAACTTTCTTAAACTATCCTGGATTTGTACCAAACTTGGACAGAAGCTTGTTTATGATTAAAAGCTAGTATCTAGAAGGAAATTTTGTTAAAATTTTGTTTGATTTTTTCCGTATTTTACTTATAAATGGACTTTGTTTTTCTTCCAGTTAACATTACATACAGTCTGCAGTTTAAGTTTTTAAAACATTTATTAGATTCATAAACTATCCTGGATTTTTACCAAACTTGGACAGAAGCTACTAACAATCAAAAGATAGTATAGAGAGGAATATTTTTATTTATTTTTTTCCTCATTTTTGTTGAGCCTGCGATTAACAGCAAAAGTAGGCGAGACACTGGGTTCCGCGGAACCCTTACGAATTTTTGTAAATTCCAGACAATAACTTGTGTGTTAGTGTATGGATCTCTCTGACATTGTACCACAAGGTTCCATATCACAAAGGGAATGCTGGGATTGATTTTGGGGGTAATTGCCTCAAAATTTTAGGAATAAGGGGCCAAAAAGGGGCCAAAAATAAGCATTTTTCTAGTTTCCAGACAATAACTTGTGTTCAAGTGTATGGATCTCTCTGAAATTGTACTGCAAGGTACCATACCACAAAGGGAAGACTGGGATTGATTTTGGGGGTAATTGCCTCAAAATTTTAGAAATTAGGGGCCAAAAAGGGGCAAAAAACAAGCATTTTTTTTTTTTTCTTTTTTAACTCACCTGGCCCAAAGGGCCAAGTGAGCTTTTCTCATCACTTGGCGTCCGTCGTCGTTAACTTTTTACATTTTGAACTTCTTCTAGAGAACCAGTGAATGGAATGAAACCAAACATGACATGAATGTTCCTTATGAGGTGCTGACCAAGTGTTGTTACTTTGTAGCCGATCCATCATCCAAGATGGCCGCCAGTGGGGGACTTAGTTTAACATAGGACCCTATGGGAAATACATACAAATGTCTTCTTTTAGAGAACCACTGAATGGAATGAAACAAAACATGGCATGAATGTTCCTTATGAGGTGCTGACCAAGTGTTGTTACTTTGCAGTCGGTCCATCATCCAAGATGGCTGCCAGCGGGGGACTTAGTTTAACATAGGACCCTATGAGAAATACATACAAATGTCTTCTTTTAGAGAACCAGTGAATGGAATGAAACCAAACATGGCAAGAATGTTACTTATGAGGTGCTGACCAAGTGTTGTTACTTGGCAGTCAATCCATTATCCAAGATGGCCGCCAGTGGGTGACTTGTTTTTACATAGGACCCTATGGGAAATACATACAAATGTCTTCTTTTAGAGAACCAGTGAATGGAATGACACAAAACATGGCATGAATGTTCCTTTTGAGGTGCTGACCAAGTGTTGTTACTTTGCAGTCTGTCCATCATCCAAGATGGCCGCCAGCGGGGGACTTAGTTTAACATAGGACCCTATGGGAAATACATACAAATGTCTTCTTTTAGAGAACCAGTGAATGGAATGGAACCAAACATGGCATGAATGTTCCTTATGAGGTGCTGACCAAATGTTGTTACTTTGCAGTCGGTCCATCATCCAAGATGTTCACCAGGGGGGGACTTAGTTTAACATAGGACCCTAAGGGAATTACATATATATACAAATGTCTTCTTTTAGAGAACCTCTGAATGGAATGGAACCAAACATGGCATGAATGTTCCTTATGAGGTGTTGACCAAGTGTTGTTACTTTGCAGTTGGTCAATCATCCAAGATGGCTGCCAGCGGGGGACTTAGTTTAACATAGGACCCTATGGGAAATACATACAAATGTCTTCTTTTAGAGAACCAGTGAATGGAATGGAACCAAACATGGCATGAATGTTCCTTATGAGGTGCTGACCAAGTGTTGTTACTTTGACAGTCGGTCCATCATCCAAGATGGCCGCCAGGGGGGGGACTTAGTTTAACATAGAACCCTTTTGGAATTACATACAAATGTCTTCTTTTAGAGAACCACTGAATGGAATAAAACCAAACATGGCATGAACGTTCATTATGAGATGCTGACCAAGTGTTGTTACATTGCAGCCGATCCATCATCCAAGATAGCCACCTGGGGGGACTTAGTTTAACATAGTACCCTATGGGAAATACATACAAATGTCTTCTTTTAGAGTACCACTGAATGGAATGAAACCAAACATGGCATGAATGTTCCTTATGAGGTGCTGACCAAGTGTTGCTTCTTTGTTGCTGATTTACTGTTCAAGATGGCCACCAGGATATTTTATTGAATAACGGGACCAATATTAAACCAAATTTGGCCTCAATCATTATTAGGGTATCTGTTATGATTTTTATCTATGTTTACATGATTTCTAAAACCAAAGTAGAGTCAGGTGAGTGACACAGGCTCTTGAGAGCCTCTAGTTTTTTTCTTTAAAATTTTCCATTTTAAGTTGGTTATTTTTGATTATATATAAAAGCAAATAATAATGATATGGTTTGATTTCCTCAAAAATTGAAATATTGGGGTTCTTTGATATGCTGAATCTAACCGTGTATTTAGATTCTTAATTTGTGGTCCCGTTTTCAAATTGGTCTACATTAAGAACCAAAGGGTCCAAAATTAAACTTAGTTTGATTTTAACAAAACTTGAATTCTTAGGGTTCTTTGATATGCGTAATCTAACGGTGTATGTATTTAGATTTTGGATATTGGACCATAATAGGTAAATTAAAATTTTTTAAGTTCTTAGACCACATTCATTCTGTGTCAGAAACCTATGGTGTGTCAAATATTTAATCACAATCCAAATTCTGAGCTGCATCAAGCTTGAATGTTGTGTCCATACTTGCCCCCAACTGTTCAGGGTTCGACCTCTGCGGTCGTATCAAGCTACACCCAGCGGAGCATTTTATTAAGATCTGTCTCCTAATTTCTGTTTTCCGGTACTTGGAATGAAGAGTGGGGGGTATGCTTAGCACGATAATGTGTGCATCCTTGTTTAATTTTGGATTTTTTATCTCCTGTACCAGTAGATTAAATTTGCTTGGGTAATCTTTTTGCTTTAAACTTGTAAGATTCCTGTATGAGTTCAATCCTCTTCCAGAACATATACAAGAATTTGTACTTGATGATTATCAGTATGATGATCATTGTAAGTCAATGGTCTTCTTAGTCCACCATGTGGTCAATACCAACAATTCTCTCAATTTATAATCACTAACCATTCAAATTTTCTGATTATTGAGCATTTTTATCATTTTCCATCTACAACATGAAACAGAAATGAGCTCTTATGTACATGAATGATGTTTGCAATAAGTTATTAATTCATATAATTTGTAACCATGCTGAAAGATTCCATTGCTGAAATAAAAAAAAATAAATATTAGATTTGATTAATATTATGATTTTATGGTGAAACCTGTCACCATATGATGTTAATTGACCTGTTACCAGTATAATTGTACTAGTGTTGCAGTGTGATACTATATTCAGTTAATTTTAACAACAGTGATTATGTTAATAAAACCATAATTATCAGATACATTTCCTAGAATAGATGGGGTAGAGCATCCCTGAATCACAAAGAATGCTGTACTCTAGCACCCTGTTGCAAATGAATAGACAATACAGATGACTTTATAAGCAAAGAAAGTAAAAATATAATCATTTATACTGCAATTAGTGGATTTACTGGCTGTTTTAAGAGTACAAATCTTTGTTTATATAAAGTATTGTGGTAAATCATCAATGTAAATTTAAGGGCAAATTATAAACTATTGAAGTCAAAATGTTTAGTAAACATCCAGAAAGAAGAAATTGAAGAACAATAATGATTTGACTATGATAGGTAACAATGTAAACACATTTACATACATTATTGTACAATGTGAAGAAAAAGGAGATTTATTAGTGCTTGTTTGTAATAAAAAAGAAAAGCTTGCCAAAGGCTCCAATTTTCCACCAGTATCTAAAACTACAAACAAGTTTTATATTTTCTACAACTGTTTTGTTGACTTTTATAAAATAGCATGAAAAAAAACCTAGTTCATTTCATCTATCATAAAAATACTATTCATGTATTTAATTATAGTTTTATATTGCATTATTGCCAGCTGATTATTGCCTGCATTTTTATTATTGACATATTAACATTTTAATTGTCTTGCTGAATATACCAATTCCAATTTTATTACTTATTAATTGTGCCTTTCTTAATCATTTGATGATATTAATATAATTAGGTATAACAATTTATTAACAAAAAAAGGTTTTCATAAATGTATTTCACTTATGAGGTGTTCTCAGCATAGAGCCAATGTGAGCTATCAACCTCCAAGTCTGTCACCTGTATTTGTCCATCTGTGTAACTTCTTAAAAATCTTTTTCTCTGAAGCTGCATGGCAAATTAGAAGCAAAGCTTAGTTTATTATTGGAAGTATTTCTCATTTAAAATTGTGCCTATTAATTAAAAGTTTTGTATTAACCTGTAAATTTCCTTCAGCTGGGGTCATTACAGGGCTTCCAAAACGGTCATATTTTCCGGACATGACCGATAAATTATAAATATGACTTGTTGTGCCAAACCTGAAACGGACATTTAACGTAGGTTTGCCATTTTAACATAATTCCGAAAAAAAATTGAAGTTTTTGCGATCTTTTTGAGCCAACCTTTTACCTTAAACAGCCACATTTCCGGTCATAAAAGTGACATGGTGAATAAGTACTATCAAAACAAATCCTACTTTAATACCCTCTAATTACAGTCAAGGTTAATTAGTTGTCAGACAGTTGAAATTTACCTGTTCAGGTAACAGGTAAACTAATATGTACCAGACATTGATCGGTCTATTTGAAGTTATTTTTATAAATTTCAGCGGTTTGCATCTAATTAGTTTAATCAAAAAGATTTAAATTATCAAAAATATGTATATAAATATGATTTGATGAAAATTTTTAAAAGGTAGTTATAAAGGTTTTAAGCGAAAAAATCGTCAGGACCACAAAGTACGCGTGTGCGCATGTGCGCAGTTGTGAGATTTAATTATGCATCCAAATTCTTCAAAAATACTAAAATTATCATTGATACCTTTATCTAACGTTCATTTCAAGTATTTTCTTGAAGATATAACGTTGGAAGGAGCTACTTAAACTCGATTGTGCTTTTTAAACGTACACAGATTTTTCATATCCGTCTCTGGATCGTGGTTTACCATTGTAAAGTCAACATCGGGTATGAGAAAATGTACCTTCAAAAACGAAAGTAAAGATTTTGACAGGGATGATTTTGACAACGTTATTTTGCACAAATAAAGATTCTAAGGCAGATATTAGAACGCTAATGATGCACTGTCAATTTAACAGTTTACGTCAGTACAGCGAATTGGTATCAAAAGTCAAGTTTAATATCGTTTTTATGTCAATCATTCATTGTTTATATGATGCCCAACTGATAAGCATGATTGCCTTTTGTTACGTAGTCTTAAGGGATCAAAATCGGGATAAGACAAAAAATGTCTGGCCGGCACAAATATTTTTTGGACGCCCTGGGTCATTACCTAATGATTGTGTATTTACAGGGTTTATCTGATCTTGATCTCATTTTAATGGTTCATTGATAATGTACCTGTAGTAGGATCTTAATCTTAAAGACTGTCAGCAATAAATTCAATCATTATCAGTAAAGCAAGTCAGGCATTTCAGTGTGTGCACTCTTGTATAATTTAATCAGATAAATAGGATATCACATTGGTGTATAAACACATTTTTACATATACAAAGTTAGTATTGGTGTATTTAACTCACAATTACTTCATCCACTGTCTACTGAGACTGTATGTTAACATGCCAGCAAATAATGTTTCTAAAATGAGTACAAATTTTTACCTTTTTTTTTTTTTTTAAAGGAATGCAACAACAGATGATTTTATCCTCAGGTGCAGGACCCCCTCCTCATTCAGCAAATATGAAATTTCAAGAAAATGCTGGAGCTGATACATTTTCTGATTTTGTTTCGCTTGTATGCCAAGAAGCACAAAATTCTCAAGGCCAGGTAAAATTTAATAAATGAAATTTAATAAAAAATGAAGGTATAAAGAGTAACACTTTAATATTTGCTTGTTAGGGCTGTTCCATAAAACATACATGGGACCCAGGGAATGCACTTCCAAATCTCAACTATGAGTGGATGTGATCTGTGTTTTTGCATTTAGTGGAAATGTAAGTGTAATTTTAATTTGCTTATATAGGTGGTTACCCCATTTTGAAAGTGCCTTCCCTGGGTACCATGTATATTTTAATGAAACAGCCCTTATGATATGTAACAAATTTAACTAACTTAAATCAGTTATTTAAAAAAATTCATTTGCATTAGTATGTAAACTGTAATTAGGGCATTCTTACAAACCATCTGTATACACGTTGAATGCATATTTTCACTTTTAGACTAGTTATTCTTCTGTCTATTATCGTACAAGTTTGTATTAGTCATTATCAGTCTGCCTCCCATCAGTGCTTGACATTTGAAGATGGCAGAAGATGAATTGACAAAATTAGCAATCCATGACACTTGATTTGGAAGGAAATAGCTATAAGATAGCAATCCTTGACACATGATTTGGAAGGAAATAGCTATAGGATAGCAATCCTTGACACATGATTTGGAAGGAAATAGCTATAGGATGTTCATAATGCATCTAATATGTCAAACATTAATTGATGATAATTTTAATCTTGGTTCATTGAAGTAACAAATTTATTAAGTGGAAAAGTCAGAAATGTTTGATAAAGGTCAAAGTAACAACGGCTTAGAAAACACTGTAACTGGTTTGCATAAGCCATAAAACAATGTTACTTTCATAGAATGTATGATCAGTCAGCAGTAAAGGCTTTCACTACGTTTTAAAGAAGTAAAATGTCTCTCTATTTAAATTTCTACACTGGTAAAAGAGAGACAAAAGATACCAAAAACAATATTCAAAACTGACAACGCCATGGCTAAAAAAGGAAAAGACCAACAGACAAACAACAGTACACAAAACACAACATAGAAAACTAAAGACTGAGCAACATGAACCCCACCAAAAACTCGGGGTGATCTCAGGTGCTCAGGAAATGCTGTTACATCATAACAAATATTAACAGACATGGAAATTGATTAGTTGAAAACCAGGTCAACATAATGTCATTTTGATGGTCAGGAAAAGCTAAGTGACTAGCTGGGAAGCAAATTCTTTGCCTTAGTTACAAGCTTAGGTGAGCCCTGTTATACTTAATTAACAAACTCTATTTTTAAAATACATGAAAATAGATTTAAAAAAATATATTGAAACATGAAATGATTTTGGATGATTTGTAAAGATATATTTGCTTTTTCAAGTCAAACTCCTCTACACCATCTATGAAAAGTCCAGCAAAGATGGCACATTATTTTCCTGGGATGTTGCCTCCACCCCCACCACCACCTCCAAACCTAGCCAGACCAGTGGCCATTATGAGGACATCAGATGGACTGCCGGTAACCAGTGGTGGCCAATCTTTAATGAGCCCTGCTCCACCTAGTGAGTATAATTTGTAACCAATGGGCAATCTTTAATGAGCACTGCATCACAAAATGAGTTTATGTTGTAAACATTGGACAATCTTTAATGAGCCCTGCTGAACCAAGTCAGTAAAAGTTATAACTGGTGCCAGTGGTGGGCAATCTTTTAATTAGCCTTTCTCCACCAAATGAATATAAATTGTATCAATTTGGCCATCTTTAATAATCCCTTCTCCCTCATGTGGTACATTAATAATTCCTGCTCCCTCATTTGGGTAGAAGTTGTAACAAGTGAGCAATCTTTTAATAATCCCTGCTCCCTCATGCGGGTATAAATTGTATCCATTTGGCAATCTTTAATAATCCCTTCTCCCTTGTGGTAATAAGTTGTAACAAGTGAGCAATCTTTAGTAATCCCTGCTCCCTCATTTGGTTATAAGTTGTAACAAGTGAGCAATCTTTTGATAATCCCTGCTCCCTCATGTGGTTATAAGTTGTAACCAGTGAGCAATCTTTAATAATCCCTGCTCCCTCATGATTGGTATAAGTTGCTACAAGTGAACAATCTTTAATAATCCCTGCTCCCTCATGTAGGTATAAATAACAAGTGAGCAATCTTTGATAATCCTTGCTCCCTCATGTAGGTATAAGTAACAAGTGAGCAATCTTTAATAATCCTTGCTCCCTCATGTAGGTATAAGTAACAAGTGAGCAATCTTTAATAATCCCTGCTCCCTCATGTAGGTATAAGTAACAAGTGAGCAATCTTTTAATAATCCCTGCTCCCTCATTTAGGTATAAGTAACAAGTGAGCAATCTTTTAATAATCCCTGCTCCCTCATGTAGGTATAAGTAACAAGTGAACAATCTTTAATAATCCCTGCTCCCTCATGTAGGTATAAGTAACAAGTGAGCAATCTTTAATAATCCTTGCTCTCTCATGTAGGTATAAGTAACAAGTGAGCAATCTTTAATAATCCCTGCTCCCTCATGTAGGTATAAGTAACAAGTGAGCAATCTTGAATAATCCCTGCTCCCTCATATAGGTATAAGTAACAAGTGAGCAATCTTTAATAATCCTTGCTCTCTCATGTAGGTATAAGTAACAAGTGAGCAATCTTTAATAATCCCTGCTCCCTCATGTAGGTATAAGTAACAAGTGAACAATCTTGAATAATCCCTGCTCCCTCATATAGGTATAAGTAACAAGTGAGCAATTTTTAATAATCCCTGCTCCCTCATATAGGTATAAGTAACAAGTGAGCAATCTTTAATAATCCCTTCTCCCTCATGTGGTATTAAGTTGTAACAAATTAACAATCTTTAATAATCCCTGCTCCCTCATTTGGGTAGAAGTTGTAACAAGTGAGCAATCTTTTAATAATCCCTGCTCCCTCATGCGGGTATAAATTGTATCCATTTGGCAATCTTTAATAATCCCTTCTCCCTCGTGGTAATAAGTTGTAACAAGTGAGCAATCTTTAGTAATCCCTGCTCCCTCATTTGGTTATAAGTTGTAACAAGTGAGCAATCTTTTAATAATCCCTGCCCCCTCATGTGGTTATAAGTTGTAACCAGTGAGCAATCTTTAATAATCCCTGCTCCCTCGTGATTGGTATAAGTTGCTACAAGTGAACAATCTTTAATAATCCCTGCTCCCTCATGTAGGTATAAGTAACAAGTGAGCAATCTTCAATAATCCTTGCTCCCTCATGTAGGTATAAGTAACAAGTGAGCAATCTTTAATAATCCTTGCTCCCTCATGTAGGTATAAGTAACAAGTGTGCAATCTTTAATGAGCCCTGCTCCCTCATGTAGGTATAAGTAACAAGTGAGCAATCTTTAATAATCCCTGCTCCCTCATGTAGGTATAAGTAACAAGTGAGCAATCTTTAATAATCCCTGCTCCTTCATGTAGGTATAAGTAACAAGTGAGCAATCTTGAATAATCCCTGCTCCCTTATGTAGGTATAAGTAACAAGTGAGCAATCTTGAATAATCCCTGCACCCTCATGTAGGCATAAGTAACAAGTGAACAATCTTTAATAATCCCTGCTCCCTCATGTAGGTATAAGTAACAAGTGAGCAATCTTTAATAATCCTTGCTCCATCATGTAGGTATAAGTAACAAGTGAGCAATCTTTAATAATCCCTGCTCCCTCATGCAGGTATAAGTAACAAGTGAGCAATCTTTAATAATCCCTGCTCCCTCATGTAGGTATAAGTAACACGTGAGCAATCTTGAATAATCCCTGCTCCCTCATATAGGTATAAGTAACAAGTGAGCAATCTTGAATAATCCCTGCTCCCTCATATAGGTATAAGTAACAAGTGAGCAATCTTTAATAATCCCTGCTCCCTCATGTAGGTATAAGTAACAAGTGAGCAATCTTGAATAATCCCTGCTCCCTCATGTAGGTATAAGTAACAATTGAGCAATCTTTAATAATCCCTGCTCCCTCATGTAGGTATAAGTAACAAGTGAGCAATCTTTTAATAATCCCTGCTCCCTCATGTAGTTAGAAGTAACAAGAGAGCAATCTTGAATAATCCATGCTCCCTCATGTAGGTATAAGTAACAAGTGAGCAATCTTTAATAATCCCTGCTCCCTCATGTAGGTATAAGTAACAAGAGAGCAATCTTTTAATAATCCCTGCTCCCTCATATAGGTATAAGTAACAAGTGAGCAATCTTTAATAATCCCTGCTCCCTCATATAGGTATAAGTAACAAGTGAGCAATCTTTAATAATCCCTGCTCCCTCGTGTAGGTATAAGTTGTAACCTGTTGGGAATATGTAATTGGGTGATTACTTTTCCTACAGAAAGAAAATTAAAGAGACATGATATATTTGGTTTCCGGTTCAACTTTAGTTTGCCTCAACCGAATCTTTGAAACTTGTACACAGTTTCTTTCTTTCAAATTTTAAAGGTACTTGTAATATTCAGTAATTTTATTATTGGGAGTGCATTATCAGAATCTATTTCAGTAATCTTTGAATTGATCATATAACAGTAACCAACACTTCTCCTAAGATACCACAAGCTAACAGAATCATATTTGTCTCACCTTGACGGAGTCAAAAAGCAAAACTTAGGTATTCTGTTTCCGGTTTGGCATTGGCAGTGGCGGCGTTAACAATTTGTTAAATTGTGTGATGAGGTCAGTTTAAGGGGAGCATAAATCCACTTTTGGTAGATCAATGATATTAGGTATGCAGTTGTATAAGCATTGGCACATTTCCATGGAGAGTATTTGGACCCAACCCCTTAGTCATGGTCTATTGACTTTTTTTAGACTTTTGCATAGTTTACGTGTTAAAGTTTGTGATTAGGTAAGTTTAAGAGGGAAGTTCTTACGATAAGTCAATAATATTTGGTATGCAGTTGTATAAGAATTGGCATATCTCCATGGAGATTATTTGGCCAAGCCCTTTCAGTCATGGTCTATTAAGATTGAATTGTTTGCATTATTTATATGTTAAAGTTTGTATTAAGGTCAGTTTATGAGTAACCACAGAAGATGATTACAAATGTAAATAATATTTGGTATGCAGTTATATTAGCATTGACATATGTTATTTTTACATTAACTATTTGGCTCTGTACCTTCAGGCACAGTTCGTTGACTGAATATTTTGCATAATTTCCACTTAAAAGTATTATTTTATTTCAACTTTTGCATTTTACAATCAAATTACATACAGGTGAAACCTATCTCTATGTCAACAATTTATGACCTGTTCTAATTGTTATAAGGTTCCTTCAACAAAAACAAGACAAAAACTACAAGCACTTCTTAAAAAAAAAGCAGTTTACACTTCTTTTTCTTTTAGATTCTTCAAACATTACCAAACTACAAGCACTTCTGAGGCACCAACAGCAAAAAAGAACAATTAAGATTTTTTTCTTCTTTTCTTTTAGGTTCCTCTAACAGTAACCACACTACTAGTACGTCTCCTGACACACCACCAGCTAACAGAACAGTTATGACCAGTCCTTTCTCTGTACTTGGTAGACCAGAACATGCGTTTGCACACATCCACCCTCAGGGACATCAAGTGAGTACATTTTTTGGAATTGATTGACTGAAGCTTGAACTTTTGGTTTCATAGAAATAAAGTATATAAACTAGTCATTGCCTTTAAAGGGAACATCACAGTTGTATGCATTTCAATATCAGATGGAAACTTAAGCCTAGGACATAGAAACTACCCATAATGAAAAATGTGAACAAAATTTAAGGTTGTAAACCAGTTATGACAGGGCTTCTTATACCCACAACTTACAGTCAAATATCTGCCCCTTTCCCAATTTTTATCTCACCTGGTTGGAGTCAAAAAGCTAGATATAGGAATGCTGTTTCTGGCATTGGTGCCGTCAACAATGTATTACAGTGGGAAATCTAGTGAACGAAATCAAAAGAAAATTTCACTCTTCTTATGATAGAGTCGAGAAAATCAATAAAAAAACAATGCCGTGACGATACTGATCAAAAATTATTCCTAGATAACAATTGTACATTTTAAAGAAATTATTTGTTAAACTGTGTTATTAGAAATATACATGCAAATACACGATGTTTTATGTTCAGTATTTATCGGTATAATTGCATTAGAAGCTTGTGAAACTGAAATCTAAAAAATGTAAATCTTTGCTGCATATTGATAAAAAAAAATTGGAAAAAATCATGTACATACAAAATCTAAAGATCTTTCGGGTCACCAAATTTTGAAGTGTTCCATAAAGTCCTTAGCATGTTACAATTTCCCAAAATATACTTATTTTTCACATCTAAGTTTTCGAGGTCACCCGTCTGCTCTTGTCACATGAACACTCAATATAGAAATATTGTCCTTTTGTGAATATAACAATTTAAAAGTCTGTCTGTGCAGGTTAACAAGTTAAAGATAAATATTTTTATAAAGTAGGTATCTTTTTACTATTTTTATGCCCCTGCCATAGCGGAGGGGGCATTAAGTGTTACTCTTGTCCGTCCCGTCTGTAAGTCCCCAAAATTGGTTTCTGTTCTCTAACTTTAGTTTGCTTCAACCAAATGTTATATATAAAGCTTGTTACCACAAAACATAGATCAAGTTCGAAATTGGGTGGCGTCACTTTTACCGTTCATGAATTATGCCCACTTATAAACATAAACAATTGCTGAATTTTCATTTCCGTTCTGTAACTTTAGTTTGCCTCAACCAAATGTTATAAAACTTATACACAATGCTTATTACCACAAAAAACAGATCAAGTTCGAAATTTGGTGGTGACACTTTTACCGTTCAGGAGTTATGCCCCTTTATAAACATAAATATTGCTGAATTTTTCGTTTCCGTTTTCTAACTTTAGTTTGCCTCAACCAAATGTTATGAAACTTATACACAATGCATAATCACAAAACGGTCTTAACTACATGAATCCTGCATCTGTATGTGGAAGTTGACTCATGCATATTTACAAGCGGGGGGATCTATGGCCCATAGACACATTCTCCATTTATTTTCTACAATTTTAAGAAAAGGTTGTCTCGATTTTTATGCCCCCTCTGTAGTGGAGGGGGCATTAAGTTTTACCCTTGTCTGTCCATACGTCAGTACTTTCTAAAATTTGTTTCCGTTCTCTAACTTTAGTTTGCCTCAACCAAATGTTATGAATCTTATACACAATGCTTATTACCACAAAACACAGATCCAGTTTGAATTTTGGTGGTGTCACTTTAACTGTCTAGAGTTATGCACCTTTACAAATGGAAAAGTTGCTAAATTTTGTTCGTTTCTGTTCTCATGATATAATTTGTATAATTTCAGATGTTCCCATATCCCAGTATAAGTCTGCTATGATATCATTTGTATAATTTCAGATGTTCCCATACCCCAGTATAAGTCTACTATGATATCATTTGTATAATTTCAGATGTTCCCATACCCCAGTATATGTCTACTATGATATCATTTGTATAATTTCAGATGTTCTCATACCCCAGTATAAGTCCTGTAAGTATGAATGCCATAAGTGGAGTAATAAGTCCAACAACACTCAGCTTATTAGCTTCACCAGTTGCTACACCCAGGACAACACCTCGATCGACACCCATCCCCAGATGGACAAACCCTTTTATATCACTTGATGAGAACATGGATTATGGAATGTTATCCAATTTCTATGGAGTCAACTCAGAGGAACATTTACTCAATGAAGGTATGTTGAATTTAAAACAAATGCTATATAACAGTCATTTGAAAATTCATTAAATTTGAATGAAACTAATCTTTATCACATATTTTTATGCCCCCGCCATAGCGGAGGGGGCATTAAGTTTTACCCTTGTCCTTCTGTACGTACGTACGAACGTACCTACGTACTTACGTCCCAAAGATGGTTTCCGTTCTCTAACTTTAGTTTGCCTCAAGCAAATGTTATGAAACTTATACACAATGCTTATTACCACAAAACACAGATCAAGTTTGAATTTTGGTGGCGTCACATTAACTGTTCTAGAGTTATGCCCCTTTACAAATGGAAAAATTGCTGAATTTTTCGTTTCCGTTCTTTAACTTTAGTTTGCCTCAACCAAATGTTATGAAACTTACACACAATGCTTATTACCACAAAATACAGATCAGGTTTGAATTTTGGTGGTGTCACTTTAACCGTTCTAGAGTTATGCCCATTTACAAATGAAAAAATTGCTGAATTTTTCGTTTGCGTTCTCTAAAGTTAGCCTCAACCAAATGTTATGAAACTTATACACAATGCTTATTACCACAAAACACAGATCAAGTTTGAATTTTGGTGGTGTCACTTTAACTGTTCTAGAGTTATGCCCCTTTACAAATGGAAAAATTGCTGAATTTTTCGTTTCCGTTATTTGACTTTAGTTTGCCTCAACCATATGTTATGAAACTTATACACAATGCTTATTACCACAAAATACAGATCAGGTTTGAATTTTGGTGGTGTCACTTCAACCGTTCTAGAATTATGCCCCTTTACAAATGGAAAAATTGCTGAATTTTTCGTTTGCGTTCTCTAAAGTTAGCCTCAACCAAATGTTATGAAACTTATACACAATGCTTATTACCACAAAACACAGATCACTTTTGAATTTTGGTGGTGTCACTTTAATCGTTCTAGAGTTATGCTCCTTTACAAATGGAAAAATTGCTGAATTTTTGTTTGCATTCTCTAAAGTTAGCCTCAACCAAATGTTATGAAACTTATACACAATGCTTATTACCACAAAACACAGATCAAGTTTGAATTTTGGTGGTGTCACTTTAATCGTTCTAGAGTTATGCCCCTTTACAAATGGAAAAATTGCTGAATTTTTCGTTTCCGTTATTTTACTTTAGTTTGCCTCAACCAAATGTTATGAAACTTATACACAATGCTTATTACCACAAAATACAGATCAGGTTTGAATTTTGGTGGTGTCACTTTAATCGTTCTAGAGTTATGCCCCTTTACAAATGGAAAAATTGCTGAATTTTTCGTTTGCATTCTCTAAAGTTAGCCTCAACCAAATGTTATGAAACTTATACACAATGCTTATTACCACAAAACACAGATCAAGTTTGAATTTTGGTAGTGTCACTTTTACCGTTCTAGAGTTCTACCCCTTTACAAATGGAAAAATTGCTGAATTTTTCGTTTCCGTTCTTTAACTTTAGTTTGCCTCAACCAAATTTTATGAAACTTGTACACAATGCTTATTACCACAAAATACAGATGAATTTTGAATTTTGGTGGTGTCACTTTAACTGTTCTAGAGTTATGCCCCTTTACAAATGGAAAAATTGCTGAATTTTTGTTTGCATTCTCTAAAGTTAGCCTCAACCAAATGTTATGAAACTTATACACAATGCTTATTACCACAAAACACAGATCAAGTTTGAATTTTGGTGGTGTCACTTTTACCGTTCTAGAGTTATGCCCCTTTACAAATGGAAAAATTGCTGAATTTTTGTTTGCATTCTCTAAAGTTAGCCTCAACCAAATGTTATGAAACTTATACACAATGCTTATTACCACAAAACACAGATCAAGTTTGAATTTTGGTGGTGTCACTTTAACTGTTCTAGAGTTATGCCCCTTTACAAATGGAAAAATTGCTGAATTTTTCGTTTCCGTTATTTGACTTTAGTTTGCCTCAACCATATGTTATGAAACTTATACACAATGCTTATTACCACAAAATACAGATCAGGTTTGAATTTTGGTGGTGTCACTTCAACCGTTCTAGAATTATGCCCCTTTACAAATGGAAAAATTGCTGAATTTTTCGTTTGCGTTCTCTAAAGTTAGCCTCAACCAAATGTTATGAAACTTATACACAATGCTTATTACCACAAAACACAGATCACTTTTGAATTTTGGTGGTGTCACTTTAATCGTTCTAGAGTTATGCTCCTTTACAAATGGAAAAATTGCTGAATTTTTGTTTGCATTCTCTAAAGTTAGCCTCAACCAAATGTTATGAAACTTATACACAATGCTTATTACCACAAAACACAGATCAAGTTTGAATTTTGGTGGTGTCACTTTAATCGTTCTAGAGTTATGCCCCTTTACAAATGGAAAAATTGCTGAATTTTTCGTTTCCGTTATTTTACTTTAGTTTGCCTCAACCAAATGTTATGAAACTTATACACAATGCTTATTACCACAAAATACAGATCAGGTTTGAATTTTGGTGGTGTCACTTTAATCGTTCTAGAGTTATGCCCCTTTACAAATGGAAAAATTGCTGAATTTTTCGTTTGCATTCTCTAAAGTTAGCCTCAACCAAATGTTATGAAACTTATACACAATGCTTATTACCACAAAACACAGATCAAGTTTGAATTTTGGTAGTGTCACTTTTACCGTTCTAGAGTTCTACCCCTTTACAAATGGAAAAATTGCTGAATTTTTCGTTTCCGTTCTTTAACTTTAGTTTGCCTCAACCAAATTTTATGAAACTTGTACACAATGCTTATTACCACAAAATACAGATGAATTTTGAATTTTGGTGGTGTCACTTTAACTGTTCTAGAGTTATGCCCCTTTACAAATGGAAAAATTGCTGAATTTTTGTTTGCATTCTCTAAAGTTAGCCTCAACCAAATGTTATGAAACTTATACACAATGCTTATTACCACAAAACACAGATCAAGTTTGAATTTTGGTGGTGTCACTTTTACCGTTCTAGAGTTATGCCCCTTTACAAATGGAAAAATTGCTGAATTTTTCGTTTCCATTTTCTAACTTTAGTTTGCCTCAACCAAATGTTATGAAACTTATACACAATGCTTATTACCACAAAATACAGATCAAGTTTGAATTTTGGTGGTGTCACTTTTACCGTTCTAGAGTTATGCCCCTTTACAAATGGAAAAATTGCTGAATTTTTCGTTTCCATTTTCTTACTTTAGTTTGCCTCAACCAAATTTTATGAAACTTATACACAATGCTTATTACCACAAAATACAGATGAAGTTTGAATTTTGGTGGTGTCACTTTAACCGTTCTAGAGTTATGCCCCTTTACAAATGGAAAAATTGCTGAATTTTTCGTTTCCATTTTCTTACTTTAGTTTGCCTCAACCAAATTTTATGAAACTTATACACAATGCTTATTACCACAAAATACAGATCAAGTTTGAATTTTGGTGGTGTCACTTTTACTGTTCTAGAGTTATTTTTACAAATGGAAAAATTGCTGAATTTTTCATTTCCGTTCTCTAACTTAAGTTTGCCTCAACCAAATTTTATGAAACTTATACACAATGCTTATTACCACAAAACTCAGATCAAGTATAAATTTGGGTAGCGTCACTTTTACTTTTCTTCAGTTATGTCCCTTTATAACTATATGATATGCAAGCGGGGGCATCATCATCCACATTTATTAAAAATGAGTTATGTCCCTTTATTAATTGTAAATTTCAGAGTTTTCCGTATAGTTACAAGGGGGGGTATCTGTGTCCCATGGACACATTTTACATTTAATTAAAAATGATTATGCACCTCTGTCTGTCTTTCTGTTTGTCCTTTATCAGGATTAAATTTTGGTTTAATGTAGCTGTGGTCACATTAACTTTACATTCATTATGATGTGAACTACCCATGCCAAATAAGATTTAATGTTTTTAGTTTGAGGTAGGTTTAAGTTTTGGTTTAATGACATTGATGGCACCAAGTTTACTGCCTCTGATGTGCATTTCGACAATTAATGTCTTAATGATGCCTGAGGCTAAAATATTTAAAAAAAAAACAAATAAAAATGTTGAAGAGCTTATAAAACAAAAAATAAACAAAAAATTTAGCCAAACTAAGACAAGGAACAGAACTATGCACGTCATTCCTTAATTTAAAATAATTTCCAAAATTGTAAAACAGCAAATTTCAAAAAACTTCTTGCAATAGTTTATGGTCTTATCAACTTTAAACTTAGAACATATATTCATTATGAGAGAAACTTTTTTATTTAAATGCCAAAGTAGGGTATTGACCTATTCCAAGGTTCAAGGAAAATGGAGGGTGATAATGTGCTTGGGGCATGGTGTCCCATGGACAATTATTCTTGTTGTATATAAATTAAAAGGCAAAGACTGGGAAAAATTCAAATGTTTTATACAGGGTTATATTTTAAGACCTGCATGGAGCTTTTATCATAACCCATTAATTTCATTCTTGCTGATGGTTCAAAATTATTTCAATTTTGTCATTTGGTATTAGAGATTAACAGCTGTCATTATTACTGATATTGGTTACTTGTATACAATTATCTAAAGATATAGGTATGTATTCTAATTATTATTAAAATTTAAGCTCACTTGATGGTCTTCAGTGATGAAAACCATACAGAGAGCTTAAAATTATATAATGTCTTTTGTCAGAATGAAGTAAATATGTTATTATGTTTCTGTTTGCTTTATATTTCAGAGAGATATTATAACAACTCACATAACAGTGATGGTTTAGAAGCATCGGGTTCAAGTACCAACAGTGGACCATCAACAGGTTCACACACACACCACTCCACACCAGGTCCACCAAGTCCACAAGAACCCTCAAAACAGACTCCACAACCAACTTGACATTAGTAATCTTAGGGTGCTGAGCTGTGATATAATAGTGTGCCTCCCTTGGGGACATGACACACCCACCTTGTTCCCAGGGGACCTGTACATATGCTGGTTGTTTGTCCTGGCATTTGAAAGCTTTACAGATTTGTGTTTAGTATTACTACAGTGATATTAACAGCCAAATATATATATATCTATATCCATTGTTAAAAATACTATGCAACATTGTAAGTGTTAGTGATTGTTAAAACTAGTCGTCATTTTTTGTGTGAACATTACTAGTCCAAAGTGCTACCCCCTTATAACTGTGATCTGTAATATATATTCTGTATTTAATATTATAACCTTCTATTTATTTTCTTTTTCATATTATATAGAATTTTTTCTTCAAAAGATCAGGAAATAAAAAAATTATAAAAAATTAGTTCAAATTAATTAAAAATTATTAGCGATCAGTTAGATAAATTTATCACACACATTAATTCATGTTTGTTGTGGTTTCAAGCATAAAATTGTAAATTTTTTGTAACTTTCAAAATGTTAAACATAATCAAAAGGAAATATTTGATAAATAAGTTATTAATGATTAAAGAAAATTAAAACTAAGTGTTATTTCAGAAAGCAATAACATAAAATATAGAATTGAATATTTGAAACTAATTTGTGTGAATGTTTTACAAAATAATTTCTTTAAGTTAAGACTTTTTAAGTTCATATAATTGGTGGTTTTGTTGAAATTTGTTTGTCAAACTGCTGAATAAATTGTCTTCCTGTTTTGTGTTATTAAACAATAATTAGATATATCATGTTAAACCAATGAGGCTGTTCTAACCCGGTGTTGTATTAGTTATTATAAAATCTCTTTCTGTCACCTTTTCTTTTGAAGTAGATGCAATTTAAATAGTGAAACCTCAATATGGCAACTGAGTATATAGTAAACTGAGTGAACAAAACTAATCAACAGTATTATGTCAAAAATTGTTCATGGCTTACAGTGATATGAACATAGTGTTGAATATTGTCGTCTTGCTTTCTCCAATAGAAATGGTATGCTAGTGTCCTACAAACAATTATTGTATGCAAGAAAACAAACGTGCCTTTGTATTGATGAGAAATTGAGTACCTTGCCTCTTAATTAACCCCTTTAATGTTAGCTTCAATTATAAGCGGGTGTTTTTATGTCTAGCAAAGAATTTGGAGGGAGCAAAACTAAACTATTCCAGATGATCATTTATACCATAGAATGCAGCCCACGGAATGTTTCACCAAGTTTGGGAAGATAACACATGTCTTAAGATTTTTATTCTTATTCGATGCAATATTACAATAAACAATGATATAATATATGTAGTATTTACGAAATAACTCTTCACCTTGAAATAATTGAAAACGTTTGGAAAGTATTACTTTGTACCTATTTTTGACAGCTAAATTTCTAATTTGAAACTGCTATGTTTGATAATTCTGTAGATAATAGATCTTGGTCAAAATAAAGTAAAGATAATTCTACCCAGTCTGAAACAAACTATTTATTCAGAATATAATTTTATAAAACAGCTTTCTCTGTCAAATTAAATATTTTGATATTATTTGTCCAGCTTATGAAAAATTATCTATAAAGTCAGTATTCTGTATTTGAAGAAAATTGATGTACCATAAAAGAAGAAAATGATCTTGCAGTAGAAAATAGACCCATTGTTGTGATATTGTTTTGTTTAAGAAATGAAAATTTTGATAGTTTTATCTTTCCTCCAATTTATATCATATCTACCTCACTGTATGCACATAATTAAAATAATATGCACTTTGTATATGGAAGTTTGTACATTGTTGAATTGTTACAACTTGTTTTAATGAATATGTTTATCATGTCACCAAATATATAAAATCTCATCTTTCAAGATCATATTGCTAAAAATTCACCACTTTTTTGCAGTGATTTTTAAGCAATATATTCATGTATATATATGTAAATTATTAAATCGCAAAGGGCTTTCAATGAACAAATCAAAGATCATGCAACTGTTGGAATAAGACCGTGTAGTGCTGGTAGTTTGCTGTGTGTGTTAATACTCGTGTAAATAGTACAACAAATGGCATTTTGTTATCTTCAATCATGTTTGTATTTTTTTATATTAATTTTATTATTTATTTATAGATTAGCCACATCGTGTATGAAATCCACATTTGTATATCTACATTGTAAATTTTTGTTTTTATTTATTATTTTGTTATTATTAGTGTCTAAATCTTTGTTAAATTTCTTGCCACTGTTAATTTGCATTTTAACAAAGAAGTAGATATTATGTTAGACTAGTTGTTAATAAGTTGCTATTTTTATTTATTCTCCATACCTTGGTTTAAGTAAGCCAAGCTTTTAAAATGATTTAATCAGGAAACTTTTAAAATGTAATTTTGTGCAAAGATTTACTTGGAAAACTGGAAAATATTTAAGTGAACAACAGAATAAAATGCAATTTTTTCTAACGTATATTCTTGTTGGTAAAATCTTCCAAATGTTCATGAAATGATCAAAAATGAAAACTAGATGGGTTTTGAAAACATAAAAAAGACTTCAACTAATATTCATGAAACAACAAAAAAGAAAAAAAAGAAAACCACATTCTGTTAATATACATTTTAGTATCAATTTGTTAAAAAGTGTTAATGTTGGAAATCCTCATGTCTTGGCAGACTAGTTGTCATATCAAATTTCAGTGTGGAATTATTGTGTATTACATAGCTTAAATATATTCATCATTAGAAATTTAATTTAGCCGTGTTTTCTTTAGATAGAAATTTGATTTTCTGGAGTAGATGTGTTTACAAACATTGAAAATAACAGAATTTGTTGTATTCTCGGATAGTTTGTTACCCTTCCATTATGTTTCAAGTCCAATGCTATTTGAGAATTTGCAGAATCCTTGCTGTTGCTATTCTACAAAGATTATAGGCTTATGAACTGTCTGTGTCCTTTCAGTATACTATGATTGTAAGGACCTTTGGTCTATATTATTCTGAAACATTGAATTTCGATAATAATCAAAATAGAAAGACATTATAGAAGTAGTTTTTATAATTAGGAAAGGTCAACCTGATAAATATAGACCCAAATACATTCTGTTTTTGAAAAAGTAATTCAGATTAAAACAATAATTATAGGCCAGTCCATTCTGTTTGTAGATAAGTGATTCAAACAGTCTGATGCTTTCTGAAGAAATACTAATAATTGCTTCTAATAAAACAGGGCCTAGAACATTAATGCCAAATTTCTTAGCCAAAAGAATTACTTGGGGGATCAAACATTGAACTTGGTAACAGCCAGTTTAACCTTTGCATGAAAACCATGTTGTTATGCTTGTTATATCATGTTGTTTTGTATATTTTGTTTCCATTAGCTGGTGTTACTGTATAGTGTAGCGATCATAAACAGTGTAAATAAGTTTGTATACATATGCTTTAATTTATTATTTTTCGAGTGTGAGACGTACATGAGATGGGGGTGGAACCTTGACAAGATGTCAAGGTTTTGGACACTTTAATGTGTCTATGATCTGTGATCACATTTATACAGAATGGGGTCTGTTGTTATGTTTTTATACTGTTAAACATTTGATTTAGTGTTTTTGTATATTTTAAAAAAATGATACAAAAATAACATGTATTTTAATGAGTGATTTTGTGTCAGGGTATATAATATTAAGACATATAGACTTTCATCCCAAGTTTTCTGTTAATATGTCAAACCTCTATTGCATGAAAGATGCATGATTAGATTATTTTTTTCTTAAATCACAAGAATACAAGTATATTGGCTTAAGATATGAGTTTGAAATTTAATATGTAATATGCAACCAATTTGAAGTGGTACATGAAGTGCCTTATTAATTGGAAATTCATTAAGGAGGTGGATCTAAAATATAACAAATTTTCTTTAACTTTTATTTTATTAAAGAAACAGTTGAAAATCCTTTTGAATACTTGGATTATTCTTGTGTCCTAATTTTTATAATCATTTATATTCCATAATTGAATCTCTTTGATGCATAATTCATTTTAACAAATAGAGGTAATGAAATACTGATTGTTATTAATTGTTGACAGAGTTATCTAACTTGGTTACCATTGGTTACTACATTAAAATGGAAACTTGCACCCTGATAAAGTTTTCGAAATCTACACAGTGGTGTAGTAAAGTGGCATACAGACTGTATCCATTTATATTTTAGCAAATAAACACAAAATCTGGTTTTTATATACATTTGTAGTTGTTGTTAATATACCCTAGATTCTGTTGTCAGCAGGTTAATAAGTTCATGCTTGGGAAACACCACCTGTCAGCCTGTTCAAGTCTTTAAAATTCAGGTTTTTAAAAAAAAACCAAAATGTGTTGATATACATTCTAACATTAATTCAATTTTCAAGTGTTTATAAAGCAATAATTATGTGTGCTTTTGGCACAAGCTATGATGATTAAACGTTTGAATTTCTGGATGAACTGACAATGTCACAACAGTATACAGATAGTATTAATGCTACTAAAACATTCATTGTTAAAAAAAAGCTTGTAATGAGGAAAATAGCTTCGGTTCTATATAATTTTAAAAAATGAAGGTTGTTTGCAAAAACTATTAATAATTATAAAGTGTCCTTAATGTTTACACGACCTTTAATCTTATTTGAAAACATCAGCAAGCAACCAAATTGTAGGACCAGTATATCAAATACCTGGACAGCAGTTGTTGAAAAGTAGCCAATTGTAAAAGTATATTAAAATCATCTAACTTTTTAGCTGCTTTTCTCATCACTTGGCATCTGTCTTCCTCCGTAGTCATTGTTAACTTTTACAAAATCTCTGAAACTACTAATCTAAATTAAACAAAATTGGCCACCATCACTATTAGGGTATCTAGTTTACAAAATGTGTCCAATGACCCTGCCTGCCAACCAAGATGGCCGACAAGGCTAAACATAGGACATTGGGATAAAATGCAAGTTTTGTCTATTATCTTGAAAACCACTATAAATAGAGAAAATCTGACAAAGGCAGAGATGTTTGGAATGATGGGATCTAACTATTGTCCGTTTACTTCCAAACTGTTGGACAACTTTTTATAGGAGTTTTTGCCCTTAAATGACGAATTTTACCAACTTTAAATTTTTGCCCATTATCTTGAAAATTATAATAGATAGAGAGAAACTTTATCTGGCAAAAATGATCAGCAAGATAAGTTCTATAAATAAGTCAACATTGTTGAAATCGTCTGATGACCCCTTATTAGAGTAATTGCCCTTTAATGACAATTTTTACTAATTTTTTGCTTAATAATTAAAAAAATAAAATAGACAAAAACTTAGGCAAAAATGATCAGCAAGACAAGATCTACAAATAAGTTGAATAGTTGAAATCGTCTGATGACCCCTTATTGGAGTTATTGCCCATTCATGATGGTTCTGACCAATTTTTTGCATTTTTGCCTTGTATCTGAAAAAATATAATAATAGATAGAGAGAAACTTAAGTAAGCAAAAAGACCCCTTATTGGAGTTGTTCTCTTAAATAATAATTTTTGTCCCCCGTGCAAAGCGTTGCGGGGAACATAGAAATACCAGGCATCTGTCTGTCTGTCCGTCCGGTCTTGTTAGTGCTCTCACATGTACGATTCTTGCCATAATTTTTTGAAACTTATATCAAAGGTTTATATCAGTAATGACTCAGACTTTTTCGAAAATCAGTGCAAATCAATTATTTTCAAAAGAGTTATGCCGCTTGGAAACAATTACATTGAAATTGCATTGTTAGCGCTCTCCTGTACAATTCTTGCCAGAATTTTCTGAAACTTATATCATAGGTTCCTTTGATGAATGTCTTTGACGAGTTTGAAAATCAGTGCAGATCAATTATTTTTAAAAGAGTTATGCCCCTTGGAAACATTGATAATATGAAAAATTGCATCGTTAGCGCTCTCATGTGTACAATTCTTGCCAGATTTTTAAGAAACTTGTATCAAAGGTTTATATCAGCAATGTCTTGGACGAGTTCGAAAATCAGTGCCGATCAATTATTTTTATACGACTGCAAACAAATTTTGTGGTCGTATATTGGTATCACGTTATCGTCGTCGTCTAAAGACAGTTGGTTTCCGGACAATAACTTTAGTATAAGTAAATAGAAATTTATTTGATTGATTTAAGGGGTTATGGTCCTAACAGTTTAAGAATTGGGAGCCAAAAAGAGGTCCAAAAAGGCATTTTTCTAGTTTCCAGACAATAACTTGTGTTGAAGTGTATGGATCTCTCTGAAATTATACCACAAAGGGATGGTTAGGATTGGCTTTGGGGGTTATGGCTGAAACCGTTTAGGAATTAGGGGCAAAAAAGGAGAAACAACAAGGGTTTCCTGGTTAATGGACAATTTAAAAGCAGTGTAAGGGAGGTAATCCAAAAACAAAATTGTTCAATGTTGGATTACCTCCCTTACACTGCTTTTGAATTATCTATTTAAGACTTTTATGATGTATTTAAATGGGTAATTATGGTTGCAAACTCCATTGGAAATTTGAATTGAGATAATGACCATATCTTGAGGGAAAGAATTTTTTGGAAAGGGGGGGGGGGGGGGGGGGAGGTAAAAAGAAATATGGGGGGGGGGGGGCAATTTTTACTCATTTCAGATTTCAGAAATTAAACAAAATTACTTCACATATTTGGGGATTTTTTTGGGTTGGGGGGTTCAATAAGCAACAGCATAGTGTATTGCACAAAAGCAAACAAAAAAGGGGGTTAATTTTTATTTTTATTTTTTTGGGGGGTGTCAATTGGCACAGACACAGTGTAATGAACAAAAGCAAAAAATTGAATATAAATTCAAATCATATAACCAATTCTAAGTTCTTTGAATACAGTTATTCTGTGTCAGAAACCTATTATGTGTCAAATATTTAATTACAATCCAAATTCAGACCTGTATCAAGCGCGATATTGTGTCCATTTTTGCCCCAACTGTTCTGGGATGGACCCTCTGCAGTCGTATCCAGCTGCGCCCAGCGAAGCAATTTATTAAAAGAGTTATGCCCCATGGAAACATTAAATATTTGGAAAATTGCATTGTTAGCGCTCTCATGAGTACAATACTTGCCAGAATTTTATGAAACTTGTAGTATAGGTTTATATCAGCAATGTCTTTGGGACTTTCGAAAAAAAGTGCTGATCAAATATTTTTAATGAGTTATTGCCCCTTGGAAATATTAATTATAATGAAAAATCGCATTGCATTTGCTCTGAAGCCTTCATTGTCCCCCGCGTAATGCGCTGCGGGGGACATAGAAATACCAGGCTTCCGTCTGTCCGTCCTTCCGCCAGGTCTTGTTAGCGCTCTCATGTGAACAATTCTTGCCAGATTTTCATGAAACTTATATCATAGGTTTATATTAGCAATGTCTTGGATGAGTTCAAAAATAACTGCTGATCAATTTTTTTTAAAAGAGTTATGCCCTTAGAAACATTAATTATATGGAAAATTACATCGTTCGCGCTCTCATGTGTACAATTCTTGCCAGATTATTAGTCCCCTACCGACAAAGTCGAAGGGGACTTTAGGTTTGCACTCCGTCTGTCTGTCTGAGTTAGAATTTCGTTCCATTACAATGAATTTGTAACCGGTAGGGGACTATGTATTGCCATGCAATACTCACAGAAAGCTTGTTTTCAAACTTATATCATAGGTTTATATCAGCAATGTCTTGGATGAGTTCGAAAATTAGTGCTGATCAAATATTTTTTAAATAGTTGTGCCCCTAGGAAATTTTGATTATATGGAAAATTGCATCGTTAGCGCCCTCATGTGTACAATATTTGCCAGAATTTTATGAAATTTATATTATAGGTTTATATCATCAATGTTTGTAATGAGTTCGAAAATCAGTGCCGATCAATTATTATTAAAAGAGTTATGTCCCTTGGAAATATTGATTATATGGAAAATTGCATTTTTAGCGCTCTCATGTGTACAATTCTTGCCAAAATTTTATGAAACTTATATCATAGGTTTATATCAGCAATGTCTTGGATGAGTTCGAAAATTAGTGCTGATCAAATATTTTTGAAATAGTTGTGCCCCTAGGAAATTTTGATTATATGGAAAATTGCATCGTTAGCGCTCTCATGTGTACAATTCTTGCCAGAATTTTATGAAATTTATATTATAGGTTTATATCATCAATGTTTTTAATGAGTTCGAAAATAAGTGCCGATCAATTATTTTTAAAAGAGTTATGTCCTTTGGAAATATTGATTATATGGAAAATTGCATTTTTAGCACTCTCATGTGTACAATTCTTGCCAGAATACGAGGAAACTTATATCATAGGTTTATATCAGCAATGTCTTTGACACTTTCGAAAATAAGTGCTGATCAAATATATTTAAGAAGTTATGCCCCTTGGAAAAATTAATTGTAACGGAAATCACATTGCATTTGCTCTGAAGCCTTAATTTCTCGAAGATATTTTTAAATTGTTTTAAACAACAAAAAAAAAGAGTACCTTTTTAGTTATTGCCCTTGGAGAGATAAAATATATGCAACGCAGGGAACATTGGAACTCTGTTCTTTTATTTCTCTAAAAAATTTTAAAGAACAAAAACAAGTTGGTTACTGGTTGACAAGGATATCTTGCTTCAAATAGCAACCCATATCCACTTAAGAACCAGATGTCTGTCTGAAAATTGCTATCTGCAATGTCAGATCAGCTAGACTACAATTGTCTCATTTAAACTCCTGTCATACATGAAATATCATGATATTCCATTGCTCTGACTTTGCTTACCATTGGTCACCACAAAAGCAATTTTCAGTCTCTTATGATCTCTTATTTCAAAGTGACAGGAGTTAATCCTTTAGAATTGCAATTGTTAACATATTGCATACCAACTACATATGCTTTGATTACATTTTTTATACGACCGCAAAAAAATTTTGTGGTCGTATATTGGTATGACGTTGGCGTCGTCGTCGTCGTCGTCGTCGTCGTCGTCGTCGTCGTCCGGCGTCGTCGTCCGGCGTCGTCGTCCGAATACATATTGGTTTTCGCACTCTAACTTTAGTTTAAGTGAATGGATCTTTTTGAAATTTGACCATAAGGTTAAATACCACAAAAGGAAGGTTGGGATTGATTTTTGGGGTTATGGTACCAACAGTTAAGGAATTAGGGGCCAAAAAGGGGCCAAAAATGAGCATTTTCTAGTTTCCAGACAATAACTGT